TTCTACTTACCATAATAATTTTTGGCCTTTATCAACCATTTGCCATCTGGACTATCAACTATTTCCTTAACACGTTCCATATTATTGTCACGTATCATTTGATGCAGCTCTTCGCGCAATTCCTAGAATATAATTGAGGTAAACTTTTTATTTAATCTAAAGTATATTTATAAAAATATATTACATTACCTCTAATGGTCTTATGGTGCGTAAATATTCGGCTAATTCCGAAAGTCCCCTAGCTTCGACCACATCTATAATAGGGATTTCATTATCATCCACAACATCTATGATATGATCATAACCGGAAATGGCTAAATGTTCAAAGGGTTTAATGTCTCCTGTAATATAGAAATTATGATTAAATTACTTCAGTTCATAAATAGCATTCCCTCACGCACTCACCCACTATAGCCAACGACATAACATAACGATCAATCTCTTTAGCATTGCCCAATTGATTGGCCTGCAATGCCACATCTCTGGCCGTACGATACAATTCATCACGATATGTTATATCCGCTTTCGCCTCTTCGATTAGATGTATCAGACCACCTTTACGATGTGATCTGGCACAAGCAAAATGTAACATACTTTGACCATGTTCATCACGTTCCTCTAATTTTTTCGATATTTCTGCATCCGAGTCATTACCATCATCTCCATCGAATTGTTCAATTTGTTGCAACGAATCCTCTTCAATACTATCCTCATTGGCATACTTTACGTGACCATTCATACGTGCCATCTGCCTTTGCATTTGTGCTGCTGGTGGTTGTAGTGGTGGTGGTGGCGGTGTTGAAGGTTTAGAGGAGGCTAAAACTGTGGAATTTGTTTGACTACTACCCGAGTGTATGGCTGCTTGTGTAATGGTTCTACCATTCGTATTGCGTGTTGATACGTAACTTTGCAGATAATTTGTTAAATATTCCAACGGGTCATTTGGACGTTTGTGTGCAACTTGTGTTAAAGCTTTTATTAAGGGATCAGCTAAATCTATAGAAGAGATTCGAAATTTAATACATATATTATTTGAAAAATTATTTTTTTATGGATGAGTTTAAATACTTACTATCCGCTAAATATTTGCCTTGTTCGGTTTTAAAAATGGGATTTTCTTGACAACTTTGATTTTCAATTTGACCTAAAATGTAGATTTCCAAAACACGTATTATATAAAAATTTTAATAAAATTTATGGTTTCTATACATTTTACTACATCTAAAAACTACTGTTAGTTAATAAAGCCAAAACAAGCTAAAAATTAAATTTAATTATTTATTTCTAACGGGAGTATTTATATAACGCTTTGATAGTTAGTGGCTAACTCAGAAATACTACTTAAAGTATAGTAATCGGATTAGTTTAACTTCAGAGTAGACAGCCAGGGAGGTCCCTTTGTCAAATACCTAACAACTGATCCTCTTGGTATGTACTTATACTTAACATAATTATGAGCTCCAAAGCCCAATTGTGTTCGATATTGTGACTAGTACTTTGATTACAGGGTTTACAAGGTGGACGGACCATAGTGGTATAGAAAAAAAATTGAGGAAAATAGTTCTGTAGCTTCTAAACGGTTATTCCTAGTTGAATGCACAATATTTCAAGTGCATCCCTGAATTAGGCGTATACTTGATATTTGTAATATCAATAAATCATTAACACGTATACGTACAGGTATCGTCAATAAAAGCAGTTCAATTTCACAATGTAAAACTTCATACTTGAAATAAAAAAATGAATATGATGTTTTTTTTTTAATTAATATGTTCTCAATTTTGTTCTTTATGATAAGAGCCACATCTTTACCACTGAAAATAAATCAAAATCACTTTCTAAGTCGACTAAGCCCTGTCCGTCCATCCGTGTAAAACTAGTGCTTAAGGAAAGCTACATGTCACAACTTTTAACTTAAAGCTATGGAATTTAGTACATACAACTTTCTCGATCCAGAAATCGAAGCCTATTGATTGAAATCATCGAAATCAGACAACATTTTGTTAAACAGTATTTATTGCCAGTTGTATACAATATGATAACGGGCAGGATCTTAATGGTTTGTAATGATGCTGATAGTGGTACCTTTACCCTATACCAATAGGCGCAGAATCAACTTCCGAGTCGATTAATCTATGTCCGTTCATTCGTCTGTCTGTGTGTCCATGTAGACCCTTCGAACAAGTAAAAATTCTCAATTTTCAAAATAAATTCTTACAATTTGACAGAAAATGAAAATAGATGAAAACGGTTCATTATTTCACTTAGTTTCCATATAATAGTTTTCCATTCTGAACCAGGCATGGAAAGTTAACTACAGACTAGACTACATACTAAACTATAGACAAGGCTATAGACTATGCTATATTTTAAACTATAGACAAAGCTATGGACTAGACTATAGACTAGGCTATAGTTCAGACTATGACTAAGCTATATACTAGGCTATAGAATAAACTATATACTAGACTATAGACTAAGACTATAGACTAGACTATAGATTAGACTATAGACTAGACTATAGACTAGACTATAGACTAGACTATAGACTAGACTATAGACTAGACTATAGACTAAACTATAGACTAGACCTATAGACTAGACTATAGACTAGACTATAGACTAGACTATAGACTAGACATAGACTAGACTATAGACTAGACTATAGACTAGACTATAGACTAGACTATAGACTAGACTATAGACTAGACTATAGACTAGACTATAGACTAGACTATAGACAACTATAGACTAGACTATAGACTAGACTATAGTACTAGACTATAGACTATAGACTAGACTATAGACTAGACTATAGACTAGACTATAGACTAGACTATAGACTAGACGATAGACTAGAACTATAGACTAAGACTATAGACTAGACTATAGACTAGACTATAGACTAGACTATAGACTAGACTATAGACTAGACTATAGACTTAACTATAGACTAGACTATAGACTAGACTATAGACTAGACTATAGACTAGACTATAGACTAGACTATAGACTAGACTATAGACTAGACTAGAGACTAGACTATAGACTAGACTATAGACTAGACTATAGACTAGACTATAGACTAGACTATAGACTAGACTATAGACTAGACTATAGACTAGAACTATAGACTAGACTATAGACTAGACTATAGACTAGACTAAGACTAGACTATAGACTAGACTATAGACTAGACTATAGACTAGACTATAGACTAGACTATAGACTAGACTATAGACTAGACTATAGACTAGACTATAGACTAGACTATAGACTAGACTATAGATAGACTATAGACTAGACTATAGACTAGACTATAGACTAGACTATAGACTAGACTATAGACTAGACTATAGACTAGATATAGACTAGACTATAGACTAGACTATAGACTAGACTATAGACTAGACTATAGACTAGACTATATACTAGACTATAGACTAGAACTATAGACTAGACTATAGACTAGACTATAGACTAGACTATAGACTAGACTATAGACTAGACTATAGACTAGACTATAGACTAACTATAGACTAGACTATAGACTAGACTATAGACTAGACTATAGACTAGACTATAGACTAGACTATAGACTAGACTATAGACTAGACTATAGACTAGACTAAGACTAGACTATAGACTAGACTATAGACTAGACTATAGACTAGACTATAGAGACTATGACTGACTATAGACTAGACTATAGACTAGACTATAGACTAGACTATAGACTAGACTATAGACTAGACTATAGACTAGACTATAGACTAGACTATAGACTAGACTATAGACTAGACTATAGACTAGACTATAGACTAGACTATAGACTAGACTATAGACTAGACTATAGACTAGACTATAGACTAGACTATAGACTAGACTATAGACTAGACTATAGACTAGACTATAGACTAGACTATAGACTAGACTATAGACTAGACTATAGACTAGACTATAGACTAGACTATAGACTAGACTATAGACTAGACTATAGACTAGACTATAGACTAGACTATAGACTAGACTATAGACTAGACTATAGACTAGACTATAGACTAGACTATAGACTAGACTATAGACTAGACTATAGACTAGACTATAGACTAGACTGTAGACTAGACTATAGACTAGACTATAGACTAGACTATAGACTAGACTATAGACTAGACTATAAACTAGACTATAGACTAGACTATAGACTAGACTATAGACTAGACTATAAACACGAAGAAGTTAACTAAGACCTTATACTATACTACTATATTATAGTCTAGACAATAGACTAGTCCATAGACTAAACTATAAAATAGACTATAAACATGACTATAGATTAGGCTATAGACTAGGCCATAACTAGACCATAGACTAGACTATAGACTAGAATATATAGTAGACTAGACTAAAGGTTAGACTATAGATCAGACCAGAGACTATACTACAGGTTAGACTATAGGCTAGACTATAGACTAGACTATAGACTAGACTACAGACTAGACTACAGACTAGGCTATAGACTATACTGGACTAAACTAGACTAGACTGTAGACTAGACTATAGAATATAGACTAGACAATAGACTAGACAATAGATTTGACAATAGACTAGACAATATACTAGACAATAGACTAGACAATAGACTAGATTATAGACTAGATTATAGACTAGACTGTAGACTAGACTATAGACTAAACTATAGACTAGACTATAGACTAGATTATAGACTATACTAGACTAGAGACTAGACTATAGACTCTATAGTATAGTCTATAGTCTAGACTATAAACTAGACTATAAACTAGACTGTATTCTAGACAATAGACTAGACTATAGGCTAAACTATAAACTATAGACTAGACTATTGACTACACTTTAGAATAGATTATAGACTAGACTATAAACTAGACCACATTCTAGGCTGTCTAAACTATAGACTAGAGTACACTATATACTAGAAAATAGAATAGACCAAACTATGGGCTACACTGTAGACTATAATGTAGACTAGTCTATAGACTAGACTATAAAGTAGGCTATAGGCTTGACATATATTAGGCTATAGTTTAGACTATAGACTAAACCATTACAGGACTATATACTAGACTGTAGGCTAGAATCTAGACTAAACGAAAGATTATAAATTATAGTCTAGACTAGACTGGTCTATTGACTACTATGTTGACTACTTATTAAAAGTTTATAAATTAGAAAAATGTCATGGGAGTACTGCGATATCAAGAAAGTACTAAATTTTCTATGCCCGTTCTGAGCCAATTGATACAATTAACTAAAGTCAGCACAGACCTTTAGTGTAGGTTAATGAACTAATTTTTCATAGAAAGCTGTATAAATAAGTCGATAATTTATTTTGATTATTTTGTATTCGCAGGTTATAATATAAGACAAGTACAATAAAATGAAATAAAAATGTTGCCAGCAACTAAAAATCTATAGACAGGACACAAAACTAAAAATAAGTGATTATTTTCAATTTATTGCGCTGAGTTATAACGGTCAAATAATTGGAGAAAACTTTAATTTTCTCCTCAGTTGATGCCTTTAAACCCAGCTAAAAGTGCTTTATAACTGTATAAAAGTATAAAAAAAATTAAACTTACGAACCCCAATATTGGACAATCAGCACAAGCATGGTAAATATAAGTGAAACTTTTTTTGAAATGATTTTTTTTTTTTTTGTATAATACAGTTTAGAAGAATTAAAGGTGAAGTTGATTGTTATTTTTATATACAAGTTTAAATTAATTAAAATGCATAACGGGATTTTGTATATACAAGTTGAGGTGTTTAGATGTGGATGGGTATTATTGTTCTCTTTTTCATTATTACTATTAAAGAAATTAGAGCGCTAGCAATTTAGGCAGATAATGTTTTTTTTTAGTCGCGATCCACTATACTAGTTTTCTTACGACGAAATATCTTAACCAACATTGAAGCGATGTGCTTGGAATTCGTCAGCGACATATCCTTTTCCAGCGATATAATATTCGTTACAGCTGTACAGTAGTCCTGGAAGAGTACATGCTCAAAAGCACCCATCGATTGCATGTTTATCAAACGTACACTAATTTTCGAGTTTAGATTAGTGGTCAAATACAAGCCCCGTACCGAACAAAGATGTCGTAAATTGTCCATTTCTTTCATGAGATTGGGCAAACGTAGAATGGTGGTCATTTTTAGACCAGTACCCAAGTATGAGGGTCTTGCCTGTAGATAACCTAGTAAGTAGCTTTCTTTAAAGTGTATTTGCTGTTCTAAGAATGAAATGGCCCTGCCAACACGTGTATAAACCGCTCCTATATCGGCTCCATCTTTCATGGTAGATGTACCTATGATACGTAAGTGTTCTTGACAATTTAACCACAAAGCCAAATTATTTGAGGAACTGATATAAACCCCACGACCATAGGGCCATAGACTGCCATTAAATGCCGTGGACTCAGCCAATTGAGTACAATCTTTTAAGTTTAGCAGAGGTATTAAGAGCCCATATTCATTTAACATTTCATAAATTTCCGAGTTATTCTCCAATATTTCCGTTAAAGTATAATAACTGCCCGGTTCAGCCTCATCTATGGCTTCTATAAAAGCTGAGCTAAAGATTTTACCCATCATTAAACGTTCGGCCTGTTCAATTTGACCTATTGTCAGATTCAGTGGTAATTCATATCTTTCCAAATTTCTAGAACATTCCACTATTGTGCGTGATATTAAATTGGACTCATCATCAAATACAAAATAGGCCGTATTAAGACGTTCAGCATTTTCCATGGGAAAGTATGCGATACGAGGATGAGGTTTGAAATCTGCACTAATACTCATACAGTGCATGTCTTTGATCAGGGGCACCAAAAACTCTTGAAATACCACATATACATCAAAATCAGGTGCTATAATGCCACAATTAATATCCTCTTCCAAATTACGTTCCTTGCTAGTTTTTCTCAGGGCAGGCCAGATGACATCGAAGAGATTATGATCCAGTCGGGTTTGACGCTTTTTAATCTTTTCATAAACCGAGGGCTTAAGGAAACGGCTCAAATAACTTGTCACCGCTAATTGTATGGAACTAGTGGCCGTTAGAGGTTTTCTTTGAGCCAATGCCGAGGCCGTTTGACCACTCCAGGTTTTACTTGACTCTTGTATAACACTAAAACATCGATCCAAAGTACGTGCTACATCGTTATCGGTTATCAGCCTGCGTGAACTGTGCAGATCATCGGGTACTGGTTAGGTTTATGTTTTTCATTTTCATATAAGATCGGGTTTTGTGAAAAAAAGGAATGCAGAGAAGTGCAGAGAAGGCAGTTGGTTAGGCATTTTATTTACATTTTAAATTTATTGGTTAATTTTTCGATTTCTTGACAGTTCAACTGCTTAAATCACATCATACCCCAACAAATAAGACAACAACACATTTATTGACCCCCTATTTAGAAAAATAAATTAAACACTTAAAAGCACATACACAATAGGTTGATGTAATAAAACATTTAATTGAATTGAAGAAAATATTTGAAATTAAAATTATATATAAGTAAATAAGAAAAAAATGTGCAATTGAACTGAAATAAAAATATATTTAAACAATATAAAGACACAAAACTTGAAGCAATTGTTAACAGTTTAATAAGCGACAATAGTTTAAAGGCCCTCACAACATACTAAAATAGTGCCAAAACAAACTGTTCGGAAATTTGATGGACTTCCTGAGGCAAAGTTGTAGCTTTTGTTAAAAGCAACAAAGATTGTGAGTATATAATTTTTCATTAAGTGCAAATTTTTACATTGTGAAATTACACTGCTTTTATTAACGGCACCTGTACGTATACGTGTTAATGATTTATTAATATTACAAATATTAAGTATACGCCTTATACTAAATCGATTTTTTAAAGATTTTTGCTATTTTGATTTTGAAGTTTTTTGACAAGAGTTACAAATTTGCCTCAGGAAGAAAATCAATATTTCGAAAGGTGTTCACGATTGAGTCAGAAAAATTACATCGAGTCCCCAAATCTTAGGTACCTAAAAAAAATGCATGACTTTTGGGCGAAACTTGGAGACACGGGTTTTTTTTTTGTATTTTTTCTTTCTTTTTGATCACATAGTGGAGTCCGTGTCTACGTATACATATAAATAAAACAGTAGTGTTACTGACTGACTGATTTGGCACAGGCCAAACGACTAAACATAGAATCATGAAATTGTGACAGTTAGTTTTTTTTTGGTGTTGTAAATCTACTAAGGAGGAATTTTTTGTAATTTTTATATTTGGGTAAAAAAACACTGTTTCGTACTTTTTTAAAATTAGGAGAGTAAAAGGGAGAAAACTATATTTTTTATAATTTTATAGCACATTGAAAAATTTTTCTATGTATTTATTGACGTGTATATGTGTAGCTATGGACTGACACTGCATTATTTATGTTAGTTGTTTATAACAAACAGTTAGTTAGATTTAAGTAATTTAAAAATCATTACAAATGATTGGTCCATAATCCTCTAGATAATAAACTTCAGCTTAATACGGAATTTAAGAAAATCTCGAAGAAAATTTCTTAACCAGTGGGTTTTCTACATAAAAACTTATCCACGAATGCTGAACGTCTTTAAAAGAGATGACCGAACATCCTCTTATAGGTTATAGAACACAAAGATAACTGATGAACTGGCAAGAGCATGAACAGCGCTGAGTGAACTAGACATAGAACATTCTGTGGAAATATATATTAGTTAGTTAGTTAGTTAGTTAGTTAGTTAGTTAGTTAGTTAAGTTAGTTAGTAGTTAGTTAGTTAGTTAGTTAGTTAGTTAGTTAGTTGTTAGTTAGTAGTTAGTTAGTAGTTAGTTGTAGTTAGTTAGTTAGTTAGTTAGTTAGTTAGTAGTTAGTTAGTTAGTTAGTTAGTTAGTTAGTTAGTTAGTAGTTAGTTAGTTAGTTAGTTAGTTAGTTAGTTTAGTTAGTTAGTAGTTAGTTAGTTAGTGTTAGTTAGTTAGTTAGTTAGTAGTTAGTTAGTTAGTTAGTTGTAGTTAGTTAGTTGAGTTAGTTAGTTAGTTAGTTAGTTAGTAGTAGTTAGTTAGTTAGTTAGTTAGTTAGTTAGTTAGTTAGTAGTTAGTTAGTTAGTTAGTAGTTAGTTAGTTAGTTAGTTAGTTAGTTAGTTTAGTTAGTTAGTTAGTTAGTTAGTTAGTTAGTAGTTAGTTAGTTAGTTAGTTAGTTAGTTAGTTAGTTAGTTAGTTAGTTAGTTAGTAGTTAGTTAGTTAGTTAGTTAGTTAGTTAGTAGTTAGTAGTTAGTTAGTTAGTTAGTTAGTTAGTTAGTTAGTTAGTTAGTTAGTTAGTTAGTTAGTTAGTTAGTAGTTAGTTAGTTAGTTAGTTAGTAGTTAGTTTAGTTAGTTAGTTAGTAGTTAGTTAGTTAGTTAGTTAGTTAGTTAGTTAGTAGTTAGTTAGTTAGTTAGTTAGTTAGTTAGTTAGTAGTAGTAGTTAGTTAGTTAGTTAGTTAGTTAGTTAGTAGTTAGTGTTAGTTAGTTAGTTAGTTAGTTAGTTAGTAGTTAGTTAGTTAGTTAGTTAGTTAGTTAGTTAGTTAGGTAGTTAGTTAGTTAGTTAGTTAGTTAGTTAGTTAGTTTAGTTAGTTAGTTAGTTAGTTAGTTAGTTAGTTAGTTAGTAGGTTAGTTAGTTAGTTAGTTAGTTAGTTAGTTAGTTAGTTAGTAGTTAGTTAGGTTAGTTAGTAGTTAGTTAGTTAGTTAGTAGTTAGTTAGTTAGTTAGTTAGTTAGTTAGTTAGTTAGTTAGTTAGTTAGTTAGTTAGTTAGTTAGTTAGTTAGTTAGTTAGTTAGTTAGTTAGTTAGTTAGTTAGTAGTTAGTTAGTAGTTAGTTAGTTAGTTAGTTAGTTAGTTAGTTAGTAGTTAGTTAGTAGTTAGTTAGTTAGTTAGTAGTTAGTTAGTTAGTTAGTAGTTAGTTAGTTAGTTAGTTAGTTAGTTAGTTAGTTAGTTAGTTAGTTAGTAGTTAGTTAGTTAGTTAGTTAGTTAGTTAGTTAGTTAGTTAGTTAGTTAGTTAGTTAGTTAGTTAGTTAGTTAGTTAGTTAGTTAGTTAGTTAGTTAGTTAGTTAGTTAGTTAGTTAGTTAGTTAGTTAGTTAGTTAGTTAGTTAGTTAGTTAGTTAGTTAGTTAGTTAGTAGTTAGTTAGTAGTTAGTAGTTAGTTAGTTAGTTAGTTAGTTAGTTAGTTAGTTAGTTAGTTAGTTAGTTAGTTAGTTAGTTAGTTAGTTAGTTAGTTAGTTAGTTAGTAGTTAGTTAGTTAGTTAGTAGTAGTTAGTTAGTTAGTTAGTTAGTTAGTTAGTTAGTTAGTTAGTTAGTTAGTTAGTTAGTTAGTTAGTTAGTTAGTTAGTTAGTTAGTTAGTTAGTTAGTAGTTAGTTAGTTAGTTAGTGTTAGTTAGTTAGTTAGTTAGTTAGTTAGTTAGTTAGTTAGTTAGTTAGTTAGTTAGTTAGTTAGTTAGTTAGTAGTTAGTTAGTAGTTAGTTAGTTAGTTAGTTAGTTAGTAGTTAGTTAGTAGTTAGTTAGTTAGTTAGTTAGTTAGTTAGTTAGTTAGTTAGTTAGTTAGTTAGTTAGTTAGTTAGTTAGTTAGTTAGTTAGTTAGTTAGTTAGTTAGTTAGTTAATTCCTATTTTTAAGCAAATCTTTATATTATGTAAATTGGAATTAATTAAGAGTAACTGATATCGGAGGAGTCCTGCAGTTTTTTTACACTGTCACTGCTTTAAAATTATGATATTTTTGCTATTTTTTTATTTTTAATTGTTCATACTTTGCATTTCATTTACATTTCTTTTCTTAATTCCATTCATTATGAATGTTTTCAACTTATCTCTTGACCACTTACCAAACACATCATCAATATTGTTAATTACGTAATCCAAAAATTTACGATTATCCATTCTTTTTCAATTAGTTCAACTATTAATCACATTTCATGCAACAAATTTGTACAATAAAATGTTTAAACAATTTAAAATATCGATTAAATTTAATAAATATTAAACAAAAGTTACTTTATATACAAAAGTCTATTAAGCAACTGACAAACTATTTCTTGCTTTAAAAATCCTTTGAAGTCTACACAATTTTACACAACCATTTAGTTAGAGTTTAAAACAATGACTGAATAGCAGGTCATAAATAACAGTAAATTGTATACCTTATGGCTTTATAAATAGGGATGCGACTAAACTACTACTAACCCCAACCACTATTTTACTGCAGTCAGTCATTATAAAACAACAACCAAACAAAAAAAAAATCCTTCTAATAAAAATAATAACAAGTTTAAGGTTTAAAAAACAACAACCTCTTGTATAAAAACAAACTTAATTAAATATTTATTAAATACAGAAATAATGAAACCAAATATGACGAGCGTTGCACAAAAATGGTCGGAAATAAATTGGATAATAAAAGTGGAATATAAAATTTAAAATTGATTTTTTTATTAAGGATAGAATTTATGTGATAAACACACACGTATGTACATATACACTGAACGAAAGTGATATATTTTAAGGCAGGAATAAGAAGTCTCTATAAGGGTCCCTATAAAGGAATCTCGAGGATGTTAACCCGATGAATACAAAGCTGCTTTAAACAAAGGGGGCTAAATTGAAAACAAGGGCAAGAGAATTTCATAAGTATTAGAGATTTTGGAGCAACTATTTCTTTTTAATTTTGTAAATTAAAGTTTCGCAAACTTAAGAATAATCTAGCAAACGAAACGGTGAATAATATATAAAACACTAATATCCTTTGCATGCAATAAAAAAACCGTTTTAATTTAATAGAATAATAAATTTAATTCAATGTTAAAAATACCAACACAAAAAACAGATATAAATGAACGAACACCTACAATAGTGAGCGTAGAATGAAAATAATAAAATCATTGGCAGTGGTAATAAACAAGAAATAAAGCGGTGAAAAAAATCAACAAAAATTAATTGTTAATATAAACTAAAAAGAAATAAAAATCAAACAAAAACCCCAGAGAAAAACAAACTAAAAACATACACATACAAACAAACAAACAGCAGTTACAATAGATTTCGTAAAATACTTAAACAATTTTCAATTATTAAACTCCCCCCATTAATAATTTTTTTTCTACTAACATTTCTAATTACTTTAATAATTTTTATACTTGAAAAAAGTCCTTTGACCCACTTACCTTGGTCACTTAAAAGTTTTTCCTCCAACTCTTCGGCACCAAAACGTTTTAATAGCTGTTGATAGCTTAAAATATCCTTGAGTTCTTCTTTACCTAAATAGTCTTCAGGTGTGTGACCCATCTTTGAAAAATATTAAAACATTTTAAAATTATTGATTAATTTCTTTTAGGTCATGTTGTTTAAAAATTAATTATTTAATATTTTAAAATAGTTTATAAAAGTTTTTGAAAGAAAATATATATTTTGTATTGTCTACCTTCAAGGATTTAATATCATATGTGTGGGTTCTCACAATAATTAACACTTCTTAATAACAAACCGATAATAAGTGTCTTTGTTCTGTTGACATCTAACCTTCCTGTATGTAATTACTGTATTTTCTTGGAAAATCTTTCTGGGGAATGAATCATTTTTATATAGAGATGAAATAGTGAATTAAAGTCGTTTTACCATAAAGACGAACCCAATTGCAAACGATCGAAATGGGTCAGGATTTCACTTAGTAGTCAAACAAATATCAAACCCTCTTAAATATATAACAAAACACCATACAAGGTTCAACTTTAAGCCATGTCTGTCTGTCTGTCTGTCTGTCTGTCTGTCTGTCTGTCTGTCTATCTGTCTGTCTGTCTGTCTGTCTGTCTGTCTGTCTATCTGTCTGTCCTTATGTACGTCTGTCTGTCTGTCTGCCTGTTAAAATCAATTTTCTGAAGACATCAGATATATTTGGGATCTACATTTTCAATAATTGTTTTCGAAAAATTTCCTATTTAAAATCAACAAAATCGAACTACAAATATCGGAGATATAAGCAAAAATCCGAGACAACCTCTAAAAATTTCGCTAAAAACAACGTTCAGATTGTGTTTGCTTGTTTTTAACAAACAGTTAGTTACATTTAAGTAATTTAAAAATCATTACAAATGATTGGTCCATAATCTATATATATAAAAGAGTAGCGTTACTGACTGACTGATTCATCATCGCAAAGCCCAAACGGCTGAACATCCAATCACGAAATTTTGACAGCAGGTGTATTTTTGGTTATGTAGATCCACTAAGGAGGGATTTTTGGAAATTTGTACATTTAGGGGTAAAAAAGGAAAAAACGGGTAAAACTGGTTTTCTTAATTATCTTACACAATATTAGTGATACAAGAAAAATTTTAAATACACCTGTATCTACTCTTAAAATAAGCAGATGGGTGTTTGGTACTTTTTGAAATTCGTACTTTTAAAGGGTGAAAATGTGTAACAAAGGTGATTTTGGTACCTTTTTTGGCACTTTATAACTTTTTAACTAAAAAACAAAACAACATTTTTGTAAATAATTTGAATATATCTCCCAAAATTAGGAGACACCTGTTTCGTACTTTTTTAAAATTCAGTCCTTTTTGGGTGTAAAAGGGAGAAAACTGTATTTTTGGTACTTTTTCTTTAGAACATAAAGAAAACTTTTTCGATTTATTGAAGTATTCCTATTGAATTACGGACTAACTCTATAATATTTATTGAAACAAAATTTTTGCTATTTCACTGGGGGAAAAAAGTACCAAAAAGGGGGAAAAACGGGAAATTTAATTTTATTTAAACTCATTGAGCCAATTTTTATACAATTTGAAAAAGTAGTTTATTTACTCACACAAAATAAGCTATTGGTAAATTATTTTGGAATTCGACTACTAAGGCCTATATAGGACCAAATACGAGTATGTAGATTTGAATCGTTTGAGTTTTATTTGTGATATATAGATTTAAATACGGAACATTTTGCAAACTTAATTCTCAAAAAAGTATATTTCTAAGCGAAAAGGAAAAAAATTGTACTATTTTTATTAGAACTTTCCACTAAGGTACAATTTATTCCACTTTTGGTACTTTTTCTTTCTTCAAATGTATGTTCTATAATATGAATTCAAAATATATGATTATTAAACATACACTGTCCTCAGTACTTTTTATCTCAAAAATGGTACTTTTTGAATTTTCTAAAATATTCAACCTAGGAACGTAAATGTTAACATACATGGTCTTGACTGAATAATATTGTGTAAGTGGAAACTCTTTGGTACTTTTCCATTCTTCAAATGATACCTTTTGAATTCTCTATAATGGTTAACCGGAGCACATGATACACGGTCCTTATTAAATGAGAATTTAATTGTCCTTTTTCTTTTTCCGATGGTACTTTTTGATATTGAAATATGGGGACCTTAGTGAATGCGAATCTACTGAAAGGGACTTTTGGTACTTTTTCATTCATCAAATTATATTTTTTGAATTGTCTATAATATTGAACAGAGAAACATTAAATTTTTTATTAAATAAGAGGTTTTTTATAGTACTTTTTTTTCAAATAGTAATTTGGAAATTTTATATAATGTGGAAGCTAAACGAATGAAACTAAAAATAGAAGGTTCTTTCTGAATGCGAATTTATTCACGTGATATTGAACGTAAAAAACTGAAAACTGAATTATAAAATTTTTAAATCAATTTTAATTTTTTATAAAAGTAATCAAAATTTTTTATGTATTTAATTTTGGTTAGGGTAGCGAAGCACCCAGGGTATGCTAGAATTTAAGAAAATCTCGAAGAAAATTTCTTAACCAGTGGGTTTTCTACATAAAAACTTATCCACGAATGCTGAACGTCTTTAAAAGAGATGACCGAACATCCTGTTATAGGTTATAGAACACAAAGATAACTGATGAACTGGCAAGAGCATGAACAGCGCTGAGTGAACTAGACATAGAACAATTCTGTGGTAAAACACTCTCGCCGGCTAAAAATAAAATGTGTAAAAGATATTATAATAGAGCAAAGGATCGATGGTTTTATGAGCATATATGTACGATCATTAGGGCCATGTGGCCTATTATGGATGCCACTGTGTCTTTGCAGACCTATGGTATGAGTCATTACTGGTTATTGCAATGTCCTTCATAATATGACTTCTCCAGAAGTTGTCATAAATAAGAATTATCCTTTCTCTATATAATTATCGAGATTTATATAATGTTCGACTAGACCGACTTAATTCTTAGTTTTATCTAACCACACTCCCACTGAACATACATCCTATATCCGAAGAAATACTCCTATGACTCCATGGGATAGAATTGTACGCTCTTTACCAGCGTGTTTGGTGAGAATCGAACTGACAACCTCCGGTCTGACAGACTAGAACACTAACTACTAACTAATAAAAAAAGAAGAAACATTTCTGTAACTTCTTAACGTATCCAACGAAATTTCACACGCGTAAAGTGAAAATGTTGTACGCACTTTTTCCAGTGTGTTTGGAGTGTGTTAAACTCACAACCTCCGGTCTGACAGACTAGAACACTAACTACTCACCTACCGAGGACTCACTGTTTTATATTGATATAAATTTACAAATACTACGCCGCACAGTTGTATAGAAATAAAAATTCTGTAACTTCTTAACGTTTCCAACGAAACTGAAAGTATTGTCGATTTTAAGTTTTGAATTTGGGTCTCATGGCTCCACCAGGGTCGTCAATCCATTAACATAAAACACATCTACCTTGTCCTTTTGACGTGTAAAATTAGGAAGAAAATATTTAAAATATTTCAAGTGCTTATCAAATTAGGCGTATACTTAATATTTGAAATATGAATAAATCTTTAACACGTATACGTACTGGTATTCATTAATAAAAGAAGTGCAATTTCATGATGTCAAACTTTCTACTTGAAATGAAAAAATAAAGATAACGTTTTTTTTTTTTCATTTTATATGTTTGCAATTTTTGTTATCTATGACAAGGACTACAACTTAGCCTCAGAGAGTAAATCCAAATTTCGAACGGTTTGCAAGATATGAGCCTGAGAAAATTATCACTTTTTTGCAAAATGACCCTTGGGAGCAGTACTTTGAGCTAAAGTGGGAGGCGCGGATATAAATTATATCTGGGACGTGCATATAGGTTATAAAAGCACAAAGGGGGTGAAATTTGAGCTTTTTGTTGACTACTCATTACCAAGTAATGTATGAAATAACTACTGGACATTAACAAAAATTCAAGATTTATTGCTGGGCTTTTATATATGTAAGTACAAGGGTGGAAAAATATGAATGTCCGTGTTTTTTGCCTGAAACACAAGTTTTTTAAAGACATTTTACATAAACTTCATTGAGCTCCATACACTAAAGTTTCTTCAATTTGTTTAACTATTAAAAATATTTGACGAGGTCATCAAAATAGAAATTTCTGTGAGAGATGGAGTCATTTATAAACGTATGGAAATAAGCAAGAAAGCGATCTGGGAGTCATCCGGGCCAAAACTTTTCTTTTCACCAGGAGGTACAAAATTCCAGAATTCAAACCTCCGCGTTTGGATGGTACCATTCTGAATACCTCAAGCGAAGCCAAATATCTTAGCGTAATCTCAGACTCTAAGCTCACGTGGAAACGTAATGCTGAGAGTCGAATGAGGAAGACATTATGTGCCTTCTTTATATGTAAGAAAACCTTTGGGAAAGGATGTGGGGTCTTAAACCATACATTACGCACTGGATGTACACCGCGGTCATAAGACCTATTTTGATCTACGGAGCTCTTGTTTGGAGGAGAGCGGTAGATAGATATATCTCTATTCTAAACAAGGTACACAGATTAGCATGTCTTGCAATCACTGGCTGTTTGAGCTCCACCCCTTACTCCCCTTGATATATATGTACATCAAATGCATTTCTGCAAAATCTGCTCTACGACTTAAACAGTCGAACGCATTGAAGCACGACTGCATTGGTCATGGCAACACCCTACTAAAGATAGGCAGGCCTATCATGGGACAAGAAACAGACTACATTCTCTCTACACTGAATTTTTAATAGGTCATTTAAGACCATAATACCGACAAGAGATGATTGGACCGCGAACACTCTCCTAAGGGACGACGTGATCTCAATCTATACTGATGGCTCAAAGACAGAAAGGGGCACGGGATCGGGAATCTTCTCCAAAAAAACTAAATCTTCTACTGTCTCTTCGACTACTTGACAACTGCACCGTCCTTCAGGCAGAGATTTATCTATACAGCCGCGAGAAGAATCCAGGAACTAAATCTCGAAAATTCGACTATGCATATATACTTGGACAGCCTTGCATCAATCAAGGCTCTTAACTGCAATGTTATTAAGTTGAAATGTCTTCTCAATTGTATTCAATCATTGGCACAACTGACACAACATCACGTTGAGTTGATATGAGTCCCAGGACATGAGGGCATCCGTGAAAATGAAATATATGATGAATGTGCAACCATAGGGTCGTCCATAGACTTAACCCTTGCTCAAAAGGATATTCACACTCCCATGGCGACCCTATCAAAGTTGATAGAGGAATGGGCTTTGAGTGAGACGGAACTCAGGAGGTCAAATATCACCACTTGTAGAATATCGAGACTGCTCTAGCCCACTCCGACAACAGATAGGACTAGGACTCTCTTGTCTCTTAGTAAGAACTCGATTAGACTTCTAACTGGTATAATTACTGGGCACTATATGATTGGACATATGTCGGAACGTATGGGCTACACCAATTTATAGCTACTGTAGCAGCTGTTTGGACGAAGAAGAAGTGGAATCGGTACAACACCTTCTATTTGACTGCCCAGCCTTACAAGAGCACAGACTACTCTATCTTAGTAGAGCTCTTTTCCATACTCGAGAGTGTCTCAGAGATGCGTCATTAATAAATATGATCGGTTTTATTAGAAGTACCGGCTGGTTTTCACGAAGACCGAACGAATCAAGTAGTCTACGAAATTAGGGAGGGAAACCATTCTCTCAATGATAGGGAATGGTAATTCTAAGGGTATCACAATGGGCCACAAGGCCTCCGAGTGAACTCGCTTGCTAGCGAGCAAACCACGTAACCTAACCTAATCTAAACCTTTTGATACTTTTTCGTTCTAATACTAAAATCTATAGAAGGGAATTTACTGGTATTTTTTCGTTTACCAACTGGGACTTTTTTTAATATTTATACCCTACACCACTTCAGTGTGGAGGGTATATTGGGTTTGTGCTGATGTTTGTAACGCACAATAATATTGGTCCTATACCCACCTTAAAGTATACCAATCGGCTCAGAATCATTTTCTGAGTCGATTTAGCTATGTCCGTCCGTCCGTCCGTCCGTCTGTCTGTCTGTCTGTCTGTCTGTCTGTCTGTCTGTCTGTCTGTCTGTCTGTCTGTCTGTCTGTCTGTCTGTCTGTCCGTCTGTCTGTCTGTCCGTCCGTCCATGTAAACCTTGTAATCAAACTACAGGTCGCAATTTTGAAGATAATTCAATGAAATTTGGTACATGATCTTCTATTGTCCCACGGACGAAGCCTATTGAAAATGGTTAACATCGGTCCATTATTTCACCTAGCCCCCATACAACTGAACCCCGAATAGGGCTTTTAATCTTTGTAATCAAACTACAATTTTGGAGATAATTCAATGAAATTTGGCACATGATCTTTTATGGTACCGTCGACAAAGTCTATTGAAAATAGTTTACATCGGTCCATTATTTCACCTAGCCCCCATACAACTGAACCCGCCGAATAGGGCTATTAAGTTCATAATTATATTTAATATACTCATATCTCGACAAAAAGCTGCAAAAACCAAGTTCTATACAAGATTTGATGACCCTCACGAATTCCATAATAATAGGTCCTCATATGACCCTAGCCCCTATAAAAAGACCCCATCGAAATTTCACTTAAATGTCCACAATTTAATTCAACAATAAACGGCTTAATTATGTATATCTGAGTCAAGGTACAATTCAATTTAAATGCTTTATTATGGCAAATAAATCACATTATATTTTTGTCAAAGGTGTAGGGTATTATATGGTCGGCCTCGCCCGACTATAATTTCTTACTTGTTTTTAATATGAAGCCTAGAAACAGATCATTAATAAAACTCGCAGAGTTTTGACTGGTGGGTTTTGTGGGTTTTGGTAATGCTAGTGATCAATAAGAGAGTACTTTCTGGTACTTTTTTCATTCATAAAAAGATACTTTTAAGTTCCTAAATTATGTAGTATATATTTAAACTAATTTCAAATCAAACATACCTTATCAACGATTTTGGGATTAGCACCCAATTGTAGGAGAACATTATAGAAATGACCATTATCATTAATAACCGAGGCATAATGTAAAGCGGTGCGACCATCATTATCGGTTATTGTTGTAGTTTCGGGAAAGCGGGCAGACAAATAGCGTACAATATCTACAAAATAAGGGAAATTTCAGAGTAAAAAAACTTAAAATTTCTAATAAATTAGAAAAAGTACATAACAAAAACTTACCACTATTACCAAATAAGACGGCCACATGTAAAGGAGTGGCACCATTTGGTGAGATTTCATCTTTGGCAATGGCAAACTTTCTACGATCTAAGGCCTGCTGCAGATTTAAAAGGCTACCATTACGTGAAGCTTCATGTACACGACGTATTTTATTCTTGAAAAAAAAAAGAAAATATTTAATAAAATATTTTAGAAAATAATACACAAATCATTATGATTACCATATAATTGGGTACATTTTTTAGAAATGCTTGTATTTCCGGTTCCGCTGCTTCCACATTTAACAACTTCTGGCCATCACCATTTAAAACAATTTGTGCCAACTGTTCCATATCACCGGATGCAATAATACTTTGAATGCGTGTATCCTTTATTGTTTGCATTTAATTATTGTTCGATTGTGATGATAAAATATGGTGTTTATATAATTTAAAAATTTAATTTCTAACAATTTTAACTCACAAAACAAAAATGTAACGTAAAAACACAACATAAATTTCAAATCATAAATTTATACACGAAAAAAAAAGCCAATTCATTCAATGGATAACAATGGAAAGTGTTGGAAAATTGTGCCAAAAGTATTAAATTAAAAAGAAATAACAAAAAAAAATCACAAGAAAACGTAAAGTAATACGGAATTAGAAAATTTAAAGCTAAACCGGAAGTTAAATTAAAAACAGTACTTAAAACGGAAAGAAAACACTGGGACTGTGTGTATTAAGTAAGACAGAGTTTCTGTAGTTGTTTTGTTTGCAGTCATAATTATTCACATTTTATAATAATTAAAATTTTAAATTAAATAAAAAAAATTAAAAAAAAAATAAATTAACTTAAACACATTAAAACTCATAAGAAATCATAATATTAAAAATTGTAACGGCATCGTTATTTGTATGCTGAGAGAAAAAAAAAACAAACAAACGGGACAAAAATGATTTTTTTGAAAAAGTTATACTTCATCGTCATGAACATAAGCAGCTGTTTGTGACTGAACTGTATTATCTTCGGCATCGCCTTGCACGAAACCCTCTATGGCCAGTGAGGAGGTGGGAGAACCTTCACCATCTAGTTCCTCTTCGTCAAGATTTTCTTCATTATTCTTAATATCTGTTTCCTCAACATTTGCCTCGGCTGGCTCTGGCTCGTGTTCTGGCTCGGGCTCTGGCTCAGTTTCAGCTTCAGCTTCTGGTTCATTTTCAGTTTCTCCCTGATCTTGTGTTTCGTTGTCAGCTTCATTGTTCTCTTTAGTTTCTTCTTCGTTTTCTGCTTCTACTTCGGGTTCCTAAGAAAATAATTGGAAATATTGTTTTTTTGCTATTTTTTCTTTTAAAGAAAACTTTACTCTTTGTAAGTGTTTCATATCTAACTATATTTTCGAAATCATGCATTAAATCTACAATATTAACTCTATTCTATTAACTATTAACTCTATTTATTTTGATTTTTATAATTCTACTAATCTATATTGTACTAAACATTTTTGAATTATTTTATAAATGCGCTATGGAGCTACTAAATTCATACATTCGCAAAGAGCTGCAATATATTGCCGATTATCCAGTAAATGCTAAAACTACTAATCAACAATCTTTTAGACCTGAAACCCATAGAGAATCAGTCAGAGCTTTAGATGTATGTATACGACTACTCGCAGAAGTTTTTGGTCAGGTTCACATTCACCACTTTACTCTGATTTATAGTCTAGTCTATAGTCTAATCTATAGTCTAGTATATAGTCCAGTCTATAGTCTAGTCTATAGTCAAGTCTATAGTCTATAGTTTAGTCTATAGTCAGTCTATAGTCTAGTCCGATAGTCTAGTCTATAGTCTGTCTATAGTCTAGTCTATAGTCCTAGTCTATAGTCTAGTCTTAGTCTAGTCTATAGTCTAGTCTAGTAGTCTATCTATAGTCTAGTCTATAGTCTAGTCTATAGTCTAGTCTATAGTCTAGTCTATAGTTCTAGTCTATAGTCAGTCGATAGTCTAGTCTATAGTCTAGTCTATAGTCTAGTCTATAGTACTAGTCTATAGTATAGTCCTATAGTCTAGTCCTATAGTCTAGTCTATAGTCCTAGTCTATAGTCTAGTCTATAGTCTAGTCTATAGTCTAGTCTATAGTCTAGTCTATAGTCTAGTCTATAGTCCAGTCTATAGTCCTAGTCTATAGTCTAGTCTATAGTCTAGTCTATAGTAGGGTCTAGTCTATAGTCTAGTCTATAGTCTAGTCTATAGTCTAGTCTATAGTCTAGTCTATAGTCTAGTCTATAGTCTAGTCTATAGTCTAGTCTATAGTCTAGTCTATAGTCTAGTCTATAGTCTAGTCTATAGTCTAGTCTATAGTCTAGTCTATAGTCTAGTCTATAGTCTAGTCTATAGTCTAGTCTATAGTCTAGTCTATAGTCTAGTCTATAGTCTAGTCTATAGTCTAGTCTATAGTCTAGTCTATAGTCTAGTCTATAGTCTAGTCTATAGTCTAGTCTATAGTCTAGTCTATAGTCTAGTCTATAGTCTAGTCTATAGTCTAGTCTATAGTCTAGTCTATAGTCTAGTCTATAGTCTAGTCTATAGTCTAGTCTATAGTCTAGTCTATAGTCTAGTCTATAGTCTAGTCTATAGTCTAGTCTATAGTCTAGTCTATAGTCTAGTCTATAGTCTAGTCTATAGTCTAGTCTATAGTCTAGTCTATAGTCTAGTCTATAGTCTAGTCTATAGTCTAGTCTATAGTCTAGTCTACATGCATAATTTCTATTTAAAAAACTCAACATTATAAATCCCTCTATAGATCTTCTATCAATATTTGAAGGCAAAACTATGATATAGACAACTAACAAATCAGCAACAAAAATAATACCTGCATAATTTATAATGAGCAAATATCCATACATTTGATATGAATGAAATGATATTAGAAATACATATTGTCAGGGAGCCATATCTAACAGTTACAACTGACGCTTCTTTTTTCAACAATCTATATTCTCTAACAAATATACCGTTTGCAATTTTTTTTTTGCTCTATTGCTTAGTACCATCTAATTGCATGCCAAGATGCCATTTTAGATTGATGGGGGTTTAAGCGAAAAAACTAAAAACTCGCTACAAGTATTTGACAATTATGAATAATTCACACAAATATATAGAAAAAATAAATGCAAATTATTTTATATTTTGTATCTACTATTTCTAGGTTAAAAGGTAAAATAATTTTTAATTTAAGTTCCCAAAAAAATATATGTCTATTAAAGTAACTGATTGTTGAAATTGAAAGTTTATGGAAAATTTTGTTTTAAATTAGATTTAAACTAGTACTTCATGCATAAAAATAATATGAACTACTTATGAAATGAGGAAATTATTTATGGCAATAAAAAAATATATGTATAAACAAATATTTAGTATGTAAAATGCCTATATTTAAGAACTAAAATCTAAAACAAATTGTATTAAGTTTTTGAAACCTCCCATACATACTCGGTTCAATAATGTAAACGGCTTTAGAACTGCGACCATTCAATCCATTTTTGAGTTTTTGGATAGTATTTGATTCGAAAAATAGATCTTGCATCGACGATAATTAAAGGTCTAGTCATAGTCTAGTCATAGTCTAGTCATAGTCTAGTCTAGTCATAGTCTAGTCATAGTCTAGTCATAGTCTAGTCATAGTCTAGTCATAGTCTAGTCATAGTCTAGTCATAGTCTAGTCATAGTCTAGTCATAGTCTAGTCATAGTCTATAGTCTAGTCATAGTCTAGTCATAGTCTAGTCATAGTCTAGTCATAGTCTAGTCATAGTCTAGTCATAGTCTAGTCATAGTCTAGTCATAGTCTAGTCATAGTCTAGTCATAGTCTAGTCATAGTCTAGTCATAGTCTAGTCATAGTCTAGTCATAGTCTAGTCATAGTCTAGTCATAGTCATAGTCTAGTCATAGTCTAGTCATAGTCTAGTCATAGTCTAGTCATAGTCTAGTCATAGTCTAGTCATAGTCTAGTCATAGTCTAGTCATAGTCTAGTCATAGTCTAGTCATAGTCTAGTCATAGTCTAGTCATAGTCTAGTCATAGTCTAGTCATAGTCTAGTCATAGTCTAGTCATAGTCTAGTCATAGTCTAGTCATAGTCTAGTCATAGTCTAGTCATAGTCTAGTCATAGTCTAGTCATAGTCTAGTCATAGTCTAGTCATAGTCTAGTCATAGTCTAGTCATAGTCTAGTCATAGTCTAGTCGTAGTCTAGTCGTAGTCTAGTCGTTGTCTAGTTATTGTCATTGTCTAGTTATTGTCATTGTCTAGTTATAGTTATAGCCATAGTGAAGTTAGTCTAGTCATAGTCTAATCATCATCTAGTTATTGTCATTGTCTAGTTATATAGTCATAGTTATAGCCATAGTCAAGTTATAACCAAAATCTAGTTATAGTCATAGTATAATTATTGTCGCAGTTCTAGTCGTATGAAGTTATAGTAATAGTTGTGGTCATATTTATAGTCACTGTTATAGTCTAGTCCCAGTCATTGCACATAGAAAAATGTTTCTTTTTGAAAATACAGACAATCACACAATATTTAGTTTTTTAAATTTTCAAACATTTATTAAAATTTCAAGAGCATAGTATATGAATATGTTTTATATATATTTTTTTCATTCAATATCATTTTGATTTTAGATAAAAACTACAGGTGCTCAAATCACACATACGAGTACAATGATTTATTTAGACAACTACTTTCAAAGATAATTTTGTATCGTTAGTAAGATAGTAATCCAAGTGCAATTAAAGTGATATAGTTTTAAGAAATTTTCCAATTATTTCAGAGAGTTCTACAAATTAGAGAGTGCCAAATTGTACCTCATCTTCATCACTACTCTCGCCATCTTTTACTACCTTTTTGTTGGATGTTTCTTTTTGAGGACTTTCAGTGTGGACGACAACATCGTTAGATTCATTTTGCAATTTTTCCTTCTCATCTTTTGTGGGGCTTGTCGTTGAAAATACACTCATTACCTTGCCTGCCATATCTTTAACATTTTCCTTAAGATTGTCTTTCATTTCTTCCAACTTATCACCGATATCTTTTTCTTTCTCTTCCAAGAAAGTTTCTTCAGATTTTTTGTATTCTTCTAGAGATTTGTTAAGTTCCTTGAATTGTTCATCGATTATGCCATCTGCTGTACTGGGTTTAGTAGAATCTTCGGTTCCATTTGTTGTTGCTTCTGTGATTGTTGCTAGTTCATTGCTCAATTTGTTAGTATTATTATTTTCATCTTCGTCAGTCTTATCATTTTCTTTTTTGGGAGATTCTTTTGGTGGAGTTTTGGGAGCTGTTGTGGGTTGTGGTGGTTTTGGTTTAATGTTTTCATTTGAACTATTGGAATTTTCATTATCGTTGGTTGGGGCATCTGTGTTTGATTGTGTTTGTAATTGAGCATTTTCTATTGTGCTATTGGACTCTTTCTCCGAAGTTTTTAGAATATCCGATTTTGAAGATGTTGGTTCTTGAACATTTTCTTTACTCTCTTTTGTTTCTTTATCTTCTGTTTTAGTTTCTTGTTTATTTGTACTTTCTAACTTTTCTACATTTTCGTTTACACTTTCTTTGTCATTTTCTGTTTTTCCCGAAGAATTTTCTTTATTTTCATTTTGTTGTTGATTATTATCTATCTTTGTTTCTTCCATTTTCTCTTCGTCTGTTATAGGATTTTCATCTTTCTTTTCCTTCTTTTCTTTGTTTACATTATCACTTGATTGTCCATTTATCTTTAAATCATCTTTTTGGCTTTCATTTTCTTTATCTTTCTCTTTCTCTTCATCTTTACCGCTAAACACACTCTTAATCTGATTAGCCAAATATTTGACATTATCTTTTACTTCATCCTTGATATCTGTCAAAGCTTCTCCTATGGTTTTAGAGTCTTCTTCCTCGTCATCACTTTCATTCTTTTTCTCTTCTTCTTTGTCCTTTAACTCATTTTCTTTAAGTTCTGGTTCAGCAAGTAACTTACTGTCTGGTTTAGTTTCTATTCCAGCTTTCTCTTCATCCTTTGTGACGTCCTTTTCTTCAGATTTTTGTTCCTTACTTAAAGTTCCTCTACTCTTTTCGTCCTTATCTTGTTCACTTGCTTTTCATCCGAACTGGCGTCACTCTTTTCTTGCTCTTTAGTTTTCTCATCGGAACTATCTTCACTCTTCTCTTGCTCACTTTTCTTCTCATCGAAACTAGCTTCACTTTTTTCTTGCTCATTAGTTTTCTCATCGGAACTATCTTTACTCTTCTCTTGCTCGCTTTTCTTCTCATCGGAACTATCTTTACTCTTCTCTTGCTCACTTTTCTTCTCATCGAAACTAGCTTCACTCTTCTCCTGTCCATTTTTCTTCTCATCGGAACTAGCTTCACTATTTTCTTGTTCACTTTTCTTCTCATCGGAACTAGCTTCACTCTTTTCGTCAAGTTCTTGCTCAGTAATTTTCTCACCTAAATCTTCAATTTCTTGCTCATTTGTTTTCCCATTTAAAGCTTCCTTATGATCCTCACTGTCTGGCTCATTCTTTTTCTCATCTTTCTCTTTATTATTTTCATCACTTTCTTTTTCAACTGGTTTTTCAGCTACAGCAACAGTTTCAATCTCAACTTTTTCTAAACTCTCTTGAGCATCTTTCTCATTACTCATTTTAAGATCTTCGCTGTCATTTTCTTTATCGTTTTCAATACCGTTCTGTTCCTTTTCAGTTTTGCTTTCAAGTTCCTCGTCATCATCAGCTTCTGAGTCCTTTGTTAAATTTGCAGTTGTTTCGTTAACAGTTTGAGTTTGTTGTTTTCTGCAAAAGTAAACAATTGTCGACTGATTTCTTTCTAAATTCTTTAAAATTTAATTATTTATTTAACATTTCTTTAATTATAACTTTTGTAAAAAATTAAAAAAACAATGAAAATTTTTAAGCAGTTTTAGTTAATTATATAAATAGTTTAAAGAAAAGTAAAAATGAAAATATTTAAAATATAAAAAAATTAAAATAAATACATCAATAACAATAATCAATACTTACAAAAAGTTTACAAAAACATTTTATAAGAAAAAAAGTTTGTAGTATTTGTTTTTTTTTTTTTTTTTTCTTATCAAGGCCGACAATGGCTTACTTTTAACAGAAATTTTATAAATGTCAGAAAGAAATGTTTTTTTATATTTTTTTATATATACAACTCTTTTTTTAATAAAAATTATTAAAGCTTGATTTTTTACATTTTGCATACGAGAGACAGAAGAGCTAAAGGGTATAGAGGCTTAAAGGAAAAAAGCTTAAGCTTTTCCTTGTGCACTTTTTTAAGCTTAAGTAAAAATTATAATTTCATATATTTGCTTTAGCTGTACATGTCCTTTTTGTTTTCATAGTTATTTGTCAATTTTGTAAATATACAATCCCAATTATTTCTTTCAATAAAAACTGAAAAATATTGTTTAAAAATAACCTCTTCAAAAGAAAAATTTAAATGAAAAGCTTTCATAAGCTTTAAGTTTAATGTATGTAAGTATATATATACAGACCTAACGGCTTTTTAATAGTGCTTTCATTGCTAACCTTAATTGTAGGGGAGTTGTTAGGGAAAATTAACTTACCTCATCTTGTGGTTCTTTTTCGCCTTCTGGCTCTTTTTCCTCTTCTTCCCTTTGATCCTCATTTTCCTCTTTATTTTCAGCTTCCTCCTTATCTTCTTCTTTTTCTTCAGGTGGTTGTTCTTCTGTTTCCTCTTGTGTATCCTTGGTTTCCACTTCATCCTCATCAGCAAGGTTCGTCTCGTGATCATCTTGTTCATTTCTTCAGCTGGTTCTGCATTTTCTCTCCTCGTCTTCCTTAGACATTGCCTTCATCTTCTTGACCGCTAGCACTTTTAAAGAACAAAATTCTTAGTATTTAGTATAAACGTTAACTGAAAAGTGTTCAACATGAGTCCTAGTCTTAGTCTAGTCTAATAGTCTAGTCTATAGTCTAGTCTATAGTCTAGTCTATAGTCTTAGTCCTAGAGTCTAGTCTATAGTCCTAGTCTATAGTCTAGTCTAATAGTCTAGTCTATAGTATAGTCTATAGTCTAGTCTAGTCTAGTCTATAGTCTAGTCTATAGTCTAAGTCTATAGTCTAGTCTATAGTCTAGTTATAGTCTAGGCTATAGTCCTAGTCTATAGTCTAGTCTATAGTCTATGTCTATAGTCTAGTCTATTAGGTCTATTCTAAGTCTAGTCTATAGTCTAGTCTAATGTCCTAGTCCTAGTAGTCTAGTCTATAGTCAGTCCTATAGTCAGTCTATGTCTAGTCTTAGTCCTAGTCTATAGTCTAGTCTATAGTCTTCTATAGTCTTAGTCTATAGTATAGTCTATAGTCCTAGCCTATAGTCTAGTCTAATTCTAGTCATAGTCAGGTCTATAGGTTAGTCTATAGTCTTGGTCTATAGTCTAGTCTATAGTCTAGTCTATAGTCTAGTCTATAGTCTAGTCTATAGTCTAGTCTATAGTCTAGTCTATAGTCTAGTCTATAGTCTAGTCTATAGTCTAGTCTATAGTCTAGTCTATAGTCTAGTCTATAGTCTAGTCTATAGTCTAGTCTATAGTCTAGTCTATAGTCTATCTATAGTCTAGTCTATAGTCTAGTCTATAGTCTAGTCTATAGTCTAGTCTATAGTCTAGTCTAGTCTAGTCTAGTCTATAGTCTAGTCTATAGTCTAGTCTATAGTCTAGTCTATAGTCTAGTCTATAGTCTAGTCTATAGTCTAGTCTATAGTCTAGTCTATAGTCTAGTCTATAGTCTAGTCTATAGTCTAGTCTATAGTCTAGTCTATAGTCTAGTCTATAGTCTAGTCTATAGTCTAGTCTATAGTCTAGTCTATAGTCTAGTCTATAGTCTAGTCTATAGTCTAGTCTATAGTCTAGTCTATAGTCTAGTCTATAGTCTAGTCTATAGTCTAGTCTATAGTCTAGTCTATAGTCTAGTCTATAGTCTAGTCTATAGTCTAGTCTATAGTCTAGTCTATAGTCTAGTCTATAGTCCTAGTCTATAGTCGAGTCTATCAGTCTATAGTCCCTAGTCTATAGTCCTAGTCTATAGTCTAGTCTAGGTCTAGTCTATAGTCTAGTCTAGAGTCTAGTCTATAGTCTAGTCTATAGTCTAGTCTTAGATCTAGTCCTATAGTCTAGTCCTATAGTCCTAGTCTATAGTCTAGTCTATAGTCTAGGTCTATAGTCTAAGTCGATAGTCTAGTCTATAGTCTAGTCTATAAGTCTAGTCTATAGTCTAGGCTATGTCGAGTCTATGTCTAGCTTAGTATAGTCTATAGTCTAGCTATAGTCTAGTCGATAGTCTAGTCTATAGTCTGTCTTACTTAGTCTATAGTCCCTAGTCTATATTCTAGTCTATAGTCTAGTCTATAGTCTAAGTCTATAGTCTAGTCTATAGTCTAGTCTATATCTAGTCTATAGTCTAGTCCTAAAATAGTCTAGTCTATAGTCCTAGTTCTATAGTCTAGTCTAATGTCTAGGCTATATCGAGTCTATAGTCTAGTCGATAGTCTAGTCTAAATAGTCTAGTCTTAGTCTAGTCTAATAGTCTAGGTCTAGAGTCTAGTCTTCTAGTTAGTCTAGTCTAGTCTAGTCTATAGTCTAGTCTATAGTCTAGTCTATAGTCTAGTCTATAGTATAGTCCTATAGTCTAGTCTATAGTCTAGTCTATAGTCTAGTCATAGTCTAGTCTATAGTCTAGTCTATAGTCTAGTCTATAGTCTAGTCTATAGTCTAGTCTATAGTCTAGTCTATAGTCTAGTCTATAGTCTAGTCTATAGTCTAGTCTATAGTCTAGTCTATAGTCTAGTCTATAGTCTAGTCTATAGTCTAGTCTATAGTCTAAGTCTATGTCTAGTCTATAGTTCTAGTCTATAGTCTAGTCTATAGTCTAGTCTATAGTCTAGTCTATAGTCTAGTCTATAGTCTAGTCTATAGTCTAGTCTATAGTCTAGTCTATAGTCTAGTCTATAGTCTAGTCTATAGTCAGTCTATTCTAGTCTATAGTCAGTCTATAGTCTAGTCTATAGTCTAGTCTAGTCTAGTCTATAGTCTAGTCTATAGTCTAGTCTATAGTCTAGTCTATAGTCTAGTCTATAGTCTAGTCTATAGTCTAGTCTATAGTCTAGTCTATAGTCTAGTCTATAGTCTAGTCTCTAGTTAGTCTATAGTCTAGTCTAGTCTAGTCTATAGTCTAGTCTATAGTCTAGTCTATAGTCTAGTCTATAGTCTAGTCTATAGTCTAGTCTATAGTCTAGTCTATAGTCTAGTCTATAGTCTAGTCCTATAGTCTAGTCTATAGTCTAGTCTATAGTCTAGTCTATAGTCTAGTCTATAGTCTAGTCTATAGTATAGTCTATAGTCTAGTCTATAGTCTAGTCTATAGTCTAGTCTATAGTTAGTCTATAGTCTAGTCTATAGTCTAGTCTATAGTCTAGTCTATAGTCTAGTCTATAGTCTAGTTCTATAGTCTAGTCTATAGTCTAGTCTATAGTCTAGTCTATAGTCTAGTCTATAGTCTAGTCTATAGTCTAGTATATAGTCTAGTCTATAGTCTATTTATAGTCTATAGTCTCGTCTATAGTCTAGTCTATAGTCTAGTCTATAGTCTAGTCTATAGTCTAGTCTATAGTCTAGTCTATAGTCTAGTCTATAGTCTAGTCTATAGTCGTTATAGTATAGTCTATAGTCTAGTCTATAGTCTAGTCTATAGTCTAGTCTATAGTCTAGTCTATAGTCTAGTCTATAGTCTAGTCTATAGTCTAGTCTATAGTCTAGTCTATAGTCTAGTCTATAGTCTAGCTATAGTCTATAGTCTAGTCTGTATAGTCTAGTCTATAGTATAGTCTATAGTCTAGTCTATAGTCTAGTCTATAGTCTAGTCTATAGTCTAGTCTATAGTCTAGTCTATAGTCTAGTCTATAGTCTGTCCTATAGTCTAGTCTATAGTCTAGTCTATAGTCTAGTCCTATAGTCTAGTCTATAGTCTAGTCTATAGTCTAGTCTATAGTCTAGTCTATAGTCTAGTCTATAGTCTAGTCTATAGTCTAGTCTATAGTCTAGTCTATAGTCTAGTCTATAGTCTAGTCTATAGTCTAGTCTATAGTCTAGTCTATAGTCTCGTCTATAGTCTAGTCTATAGTATGTCTATAGTCTAGTCTATAGTCTAGTCTATAGTCTAGTCTATAGTCTAGTCTAGGATCTAGTCTATAGTCTAGTCTATAGTCTAGTCTATAGTCTAGTCTATAGTCTAGTCTTATTCTAGTCTATAGTCTAGTTATAGTCTAGTCTATAGTCTAGTCTATATCTCGTTCTATAGTCTAGTCTAATAGTCTAGTCTATAGTCTAGTCTATAGTCTAGTCATAGTCTAGTCTATAGTTCTAGTCTATAGTCTAGTCTTAGTCTAGTCTATAGTCTAGTCTATAGTCTAGTCTATAGTCTAGTCTATAGTCTAGTCTATAGTCTAGTCTATAGTCTAGTCTATAGTCTAGTCTATAGTCTAGTCTATAGTCTAGTCTATAGTCTAGTCTATAGTCTAGTCTATAGTCTAGTCTATAGTCTAGTCTATAGTCTAGTCTATAGTCTAGTCTATAGTCTAGTCTATAGTCTAGTCTATAGTCTAGTCTATAGTCTAGTCTATAGTCTAGTCTATAGTCTAGTCTATGTCTAGTCTATAGTCTAGTCTATAGTCTAGTCTATAGTCTAGTCTATAGTCTAGTCTATAGTCTAGTCTATAGTCTAGTCTATAGTCTAGTCTATAGTCTAGTCTATAGTCTAGTCTATAGTCTAGTCTATAGTCTAGTCTATAGTCTAGTCTATAGTCTAGTCTATAGTCTAGTCTATAGTCTAGTCTATAGTCTAGTCTATAGTCTAGTCTATAGTCTCGTCTAGTCTAGTATAGTCTAGTCATAGTCTAGTCTATAGTCTAGTCTAGTCTAGTCTATAGTCTAGTCTATAGTCTAGTCTATAGTCTAGTCTATAGTAGTCTATAGTCTAGTCTATAGTCTAGTCTATAGTCTAGTCTATAGTCTAGTCTATAGTCTGTCTATAGTCTAGTCTATAGTCTAGTCTATAGTCTAGTCTATAGTCTAGTCTATAGTCTAGTCTATAGTCTAGTCTATAGTCTAGTCTATAGTCTAGTCTATAGTCTAGTCTATAGTCTAGTCTATAGTCTAGTCATAGTCTAGTCTATAGTCTAGTCTATAGTCTAGTCTATAGTCTAGTCTATAGTCTAGTCTATAGTCTAGTCATAGTCTAGTCTATAGTCTAGTCTATAGTCTAGTCTATAGTCTAGTCTTAGTCTAGTCTATAGTCTAGTCTATAGTCTAGTCTATAGTTAGTCTATAGTCTAGTCTATAGTCTAGTCTATAGTCTAGTCTATAGTCTAGTCTATAGTCTAGTCTATAGTCTAGTCTATAGTCTAGTCTATAGTCTAGTCTATAGTCTAGTCTATAGTCTAGTCTATAGTCTAGTCTATAGTATAGTCTATCTTAGTCTATAGTCTAGTCATAGTCTAGTCTATAGTCTAGTCTATAGTCTAGTCTATAGTCTAGTCTATAGTCTAGTCTTCTATAGTCTAGTCTATAGTCTAGTCTATAGTCTAGTCTATAGTCTAGTCTATAGTCTAGTCTATAGTCTAGTCTATAGTCTAGTCTATAGTCTAGTCTATAGTCTAGTCTATAGTCTAGTCTATAGTCTAGTCTATAGTCTAGTCTATAGTCTAGTCTATAGTGTCTATACTAGTCATAGTCTAGTCTATAGTCTAGTCTATAGTCTAGTCTATAGTCTAGTCTATAGTCTAGTCTATAGTCTAGTCTATAGTCTAGTCTATAGTCTAGTCTATAGTCTAGTCTATAGTCTAGTCTATAGTCTAGTCTATAGTCTAGTCTATAGTCTAGTCTATAGTCTAGTCTATAGTCTAGTCTATAGTCTAGTCTATAGTCTAGTCTATAGTCTAGTCTATAGTCTAGTCTATAGTCTAGTCTATAGTCTAGTCTATAGTCTAGTCTATAGTCTAGTCTATAGTCTAGTCTATAGTCTAGTCTATAGTCTAGTCTATAGTCTAGTCTATAGTCTAGTCTATAGTCTAGTCTATAGTCTAGTCTATAGTCTAGTCTATAGTCTAGTCTATAGTCTAGTCTATAGTCTAGTCTATAGTCTAGTCTATAGTCTAGTCTATAGTCTAGTCTATAGTCTAGTCTATAGTCTAGTCTATAGTCTAGTCTATAGTCTAGTCTATAGTCTAGTCTATAGTCTAGTCTATAGTCTAGTCTATAGTCTAGTCTATAGTCTAGTCTATAGTCTAGTCTATAGTCTAGTCTATAGTCTAGTCTATAGTCTAGTCTATAGTCTAGTCTATAGTCTAGTCTATAGTCTAGTCTATAGTCTAGTCTATAGTCTAGTCTATAGTCTAGTCTATAGTCTAGTCTATAGTCTAGTCTATAGTCTAGTCTATAGTCTAGTCTATAGTCTAGTCTATAGTCTAGTCTATAGTCTAGTCTATAGTCTAGTCTATAGTCTAGTCTATAGTCTAGTCTATAGTCTAGTCTATAGTCTAGTCTATAGTCTAGTCTATAGTCTAGTCTATAGTCTAGTCTATAGTCTAGTCTATAGTCTAGTCTATAGTCTAGTCTATAGTCTAGTCTATAGTCTAGTCTATAGTCTAGTCTATAGTCTAGTCTATAGTCTAGTCTATAGTCTAGTCTATAGTCTAGTCTATAGTCTAGTCTATAGTCTAGTCTATAGTCTAGTCTATAGTCTAGTCTATAGTCTAGTCTATCTAGTCTATAGTCTAGTCTATAGTCTAGTCTATAGTCTAGTCTATAGTCTAGTCTATAGTCTAGTCTATAGTCTAGTCTATAGTCTAGTCTATAGTCTAGTCTATAGTCTAGTCTATAGTCTAGTCTATAGTCTAGTCTATAGTCTAGTCTATAGTCTAGTCTATAGTCTAGTCTATAGTCTAGTCTATAGTCTAGTCTATAGTCTAGTCTATAGTCTAGTCTATAGTCTAGTCTATAGTCTAGTCTATAGTCTAGTCTATAGTCTAGTCTATAGTCTAGTCTATAGTCTAGTCTATAGTCTAGTCTATAGTCTAGTCTATAGTCTAGTCTATAGTCTAGTCTATAGTCTAGTCTATAGTCTAGTCTATAGTCTAGTCTATAGTCTAGTCTATAGTCTAGTCTATAGTCTAGTCTATAGTCTAGTCTATAGTCTAGTCTATAGTCTAGTCTATAGTCTAGTCTATAGTCTAGTCTATAGTCTAGTCTATAGTCTAGTCTATAGTCTAGTCTATAGTCTATCTATAGTCTAGTCTATAGTCTAGTCTATCTAGTCTATAGTCTAGTCTATGGTCTAGTCTATGGTCTAGTCTATAGTCTTGTCCATAGTCCAGTCTGGTTTTATATGCTATATCTAGCTAAATATTCAACTTACGCTTCTGTCATTTCGGCCTCCGAAGTATTGCTTTCAGCATTGGAATGTCTACCGAAACCATTCATTTCGGGTATTTTAATATCTAATTTCTGTAAACGAAAAAAAAAAACAACAAAATACAATAACAAACATAATAATTATTTTAAAATTAGTAACAAAACAATAAACCACCTTGCCGTCACCACTATCATCGCTTAAAGCCTCCCAATCTGTGGCAACATCCGGTGACACACGCGGCGCTTCCGGTACATACGTCAAAAAAGCACGTTCAATTTCATGAGGTTTATGACGATAAAATGAAGGTGTTTTCATTTTCTATATTGAGGGTTTTTCCAATATTTAATGACAATTTGTGTGTGTGTGAAAAAAAAGAAAATTGTTAGATTTTTTTTTTTAATATAGTTAAAGGCACTGTTGCAGGTATTTGAATAAATCACTTACATAGTCAACGGCCTCTTCATCACAACCAGCTTGCGTGAGCAGTGTATAACAGCGCATATTATTTTTGGCACTGGCAGCCCAATGCAAAGGGGTTTTACCCGTTATATCTGTCTCGTGTACACCATCGGGCCAGGTGGTTATTAAATATTCCAAAATTGTAGCGTGACCCAGACCGGCTGCCTTGTGTATGAGATTTAAACCATTCGCATCACGACAAGTCACTAAAGCCGGCGGTACGGGTGGTTCCAAATTAGCTTGTAAAGTTTCTAAACTGTTGTCGATTACCGCTTGATGAACATCTTTAATGGAGTTCTATTTTCAAATATTAGGGAGTTAATAACATTTGCTTTTAATTTTTTTTTATTAATCTATTACCATCACATATGGTACTGCTGTTAGAAACCTCTTTACTTTGGGATTTGTGCTGGCCTGCTGTCTCAAACGATTACCCTGTCCGGCCCATAGTACTCGAGTTAGTTTGCCAATATCCTTTTCATGCATCCATATTCGTATAGTAGATAATTTAACTGAAAGATCTAGTGAAAGTAAATGAAATTGATTATAGTTTCGTTTTCTTTTAACTAAGTTTTTCAAGTGTTAAGATTAATTTAAGTTTTTCTCTTCTGTGAAATTATTTTTGGTGTAAAGTTTTTCAATTTTTCTTTAGCCTGCTAAAAATTGCATGTTTGCATGCCAATCAATTACAAAATCACAAAACTATTTTCTTTTTGAACTAAATTATTCAAAATAAAGTAGTTTATCATTCAAAATGCAGAGGAAGTTTTTTTTATTATTATTATTTCCTTTAGCTTTTTTTGTTATTTGCAATGAAATTTTATTCAAGTGCAATTATTATTATTGCCAAGAAATAAATATAATAAAAACTTACGTTACCTTTATTTGAAATATTTTCCCTTTACTTTCAGAAACTTTTACTTTTGATAAATGTGTTTGCTGCCACGCACAGTGACACAGCAAATACAAGCAAGAAAGTTATGTTAGTAATGGCAGACTATGTGAGTCTCTACGAAGAGATAAATATCTTAGACATACTCAGACTAAACTCGGTAATGACTTGTACTTACACATCTATTTACTTTGCAATGACAACTACATACTGTCTGCATTACTGTTAAGTACTCTTATAATGACTTACATATAATCAGATAAGTAAGTACTTCATTTTCAGTTTTTCGAAATAGAGAAAGCTAACTTTTCGAAAATTTTGTATAAAAAGCAAAATTTTCAAAAGCTTTTTATGGAAAGCTAAATTTTCAAAAGTTTTCTTTAGAAAGCAACAATTTCGAAAGTTCTCTTTAGAAAGAAACATTTTTAGAGTGCTTTCTATATAAAGCTAAATTTTTGAAAATTTCCCATAGAAAGCAAAAATTTTCTATAAAAAGCTAAGTTTTCGAAAATTTCCTATAGAAAGCTAGCTTTTTGAAAATTTTCTATACAAAGCCAAATTTTTGAAAATTTCCTATAGAGAGCCAAATTTTCGAAAATTTTCTATAGAAAGCCAAATTTTTGAAAATTTCTTATAGAAAGATAAATTTTCAAAAATTTCCTATAGAAAGCTAAATTTTCGAAAATTTCCTATAGAAAGCCAAATTTTTGAAAACTTTCTATAGAAAGCTAAATTTTCGAAAATTTCCTATAGAAAGCCAAATTTTCGAAAATTTCCTATAGAAAGCTAAATTTTCGAAAATTTCCTATAGAAAGCTAATTTTTCGAAAATTTCCTATAGAAAGCTAAATTTTCGAAAATTTCCTATAGAAAGCTAAATTTTCGAAAATTTCCTAAGAAAGCTAAATTTTCGAAAATTTCCTATAGAAAGCTAAATTATCGAAAATTTCCTATAGAAAGCTAAATTTTCGAAAATTTCCTTTAGAAAACTAAATTTTCAAAAATTTCCTATAAAAAACTAAATTTTAAAATATTTCCTATAAAAAACTAAATTTTTGAAAATTTCCTATAGAAACTAAATTTTCGAAAATTTCCTATAAAAAGCTAAATTTTCGAAAATTTCCTAATGAAAGCTTAGTTTTCGAAAATTTCCTATAGAAAGCTAAAATTTCGAAAGTTTACTATAGAAAGCCAAATTTTCGAAAATTTCCTATAGAAAGCTAAATTTTTGAAATTTCCTAATGAAAGCTAAATTTTTGAAAATTTCCTGTATAAATCCAGATTTTCGAAAATTTCCTGTATAAGTTGAAGAAAGCTAAATTTTCGAAAAATTCCTATAGAAAGCTAAATTTTCGAAAAATTCCTATAGAAAGCTAAATTTTCGAAAATTTCCTATAGAAAGCTAAATTTTCGAAAATTTCCTATAGAAAGCTAAATTTTCGAAAATTTCCTATAGAAAGCTAAATTTTCGAAAATTTCCTATAGAAAGCTAAATTTTCGAAAATTTCCTATAGAAAGCTAAATTTTCGAAAATTTCCTATAGAAAGCTAAATTTTCGAAAATTTCCTATAGAAAGCTAAATTTTGGAAAATTTCCTATAGAAAGCTAAATTTTGGAAAATTTCCTAATAAAAGCTTAGTTTTCGAAAATTTCCTATAAAAAGCTAAATTTTCGAAATTTTACTATAGAAAGGCAAATTTTCGAAAATTTCCTATAGAAAGCAAAATTTCCTATAGAAAGCCAAATTTCCGAAAATTTTAGTAGAGGCAAGTGTCCAAACTATTATGTTAATGTAATGAAAGGCACTGAAAACGGCCACAGGCTTGGCTCAATCCGACAAATATTGAAACATATCTTTCAACAAGAAATACGGAAACACCTGAGAATATTTAATCCCGATTCCTGGGATAAGGGTGATTGACAGAGTCATGTTCTTATGCTATATACCATAAGCACAAAATTAGTCCTCAATCCATGAGACTAAGTTTCTGAATCAACGGATGATAATTCAACTTTAGGGGTGATTCATGCAGCAAAATGAAGTTCCAAGTAAAAGAGCGCACAATGGGCCAGGTACCGAGCTTTCCTTTTCAACCTAACCTACTTCCGAAATTACTCTGATTCTACTATCTCTTAAAAGATTTCTGAACAGGTTCCAAAAATTTTATTTCAAAACTAATTAAATATATATTACTTTGAACTAGTCCCATATAACTGGTTCTCTGAAGATTCCTAAAGAACTTGATTCTTTAGAATCTCAACAGGGTTCCAAAGAACAGGTTCCACTAAGAAGTTCCAAGGCTGTTGTCAAAGAATCTGAAGTAGTTTGGATAACACTCATACTAGAACTAATTAATTATGAATTAGTTCCACAATTGTTCTTAGGAAACTCAATTATAAACGTTTTTTGAATTTCCTCGTGTTACTACTTATTAAGTATTTACTTACATATTGACATACATATGTCAATATGTAAAACCATATACTTATACATACATATGTATGTACAAAGTACATCATACGTAAATTATAAGAATACTTAAGGTTAAAAGGGTCAGTTGTTTGTATGTCAAGTTTAATTGTAATTTTTGTCTTTAAAAGACATTTTGTATGTAGTCTTATAAAAACACATACACATACATATGTACATATGTGTAATAATCAATAAAACTACACATGAAATGTAATATATGTATATTGGTTCAAGTAAATAAGTTCTTAATTTACTTATTTACTTAGAGACCAACATACATATGTATGTATTGATAACTAGTTATACATGTTAAGTTAGTGAAAAACATATATTTAAATTTTCTATTCACATTCAATCTATTTTAGCTTTTTATTAACGAAAATTTTATTATTCTGTAACTAGAGGGATAGTTGTAACTAAATTTACTTGTACATTTAAACAAGTGTCTTTATATAAATATTTTAAAAGATTCTGCTGGAAGAAAACTTGGCTATTGTTTGTTAATTTTCCCACAAGTGTTACATGTCAACCAACTATTTTTGTTTAAGGACTTTTAATTGACTTTAAAAGGGAAAACACACATACATTCCTAAATATATTTGAAGTTATTTTTGAAACAATTTTAGGGTTTAGACCCAGTATTCATCATTAAGTTTTAAAATAATTAATTTGTCAAAATTTAACACGTAAGAATGAAATGTCGCATATGGCCGACAATATGATACCCTAAACTAGTAAAGACTATTTTTCAGGTTTTCATAAAAAAATAAATTTCCAAATTTGCCAAATTTTTGAAATTATACTATAGAAAGCTAATTACTCGAAAAGTAAAATTTTTCGAAAATATCCCATAAGAAGCAATATTTCCTATAAAAAGCTAAAAATGCCTATAAAATAGAAATAGAAAGCCAACTTTTCGAAAATTTTCTAGAGAAAGCCCAATTTTCTTTTGAAATCCAACTTTTGTGAAGATTTCTAAGAAAGCCAAATTTTCAAAAATTTTAAAGAAACCCAAATTTTCAAAAATTTTTAATAGAATGTCAAATTTTGCAAAATGTTTTATAAAAATCTAAATTTTTCTATAAAGAGGCTGAGTTACCTATGTGATAAATACGGTTCCAGATAATTAGTTAGTTAGTTAGTTAGTTAGTTAGTTAGTTAGTTAGTTAGTTAGTTAGTTAGTTAGTTAGTTAGTTAGTTAGTTAGTTAGTTAGTTAGTTAGTTAGTTAGTTAGTTAGTTAGTTAGTTAGTAGTTAGTTAGTAGTAGGTAGTTAGTTAGTTAGTAGTTAGTTAGTTAGTTAGTTAGTTAGTTAGTTAGTAGTTAGTAGTTAGTAGTAGTTAGTTAGTTAGTTAGTTAGTTAGTAGTAGTTAGTTAGTTAGTTAGTTAGTTAGTTAGTTAGTTAGTTAGGTAGTTAGTTAGTTAGTTAGTTAGTTAGTTAGTTAGTTAGTAGTTAGTTAGTTAGTTAGTAGTTAGTTAGTTAGTTAGTTAGTTAGTTAGTAGTTAGTTAGTTAGTTAGTTAGTTAGTTAGTTAGTTAGTTAGTTAGTTAGTAGTTAGTAGTAGGTGTAGTTAGTTAGTTAGTTAGTTAGGTAGTTAGTTAGTTAGTTAGTTAGTTAGTTAGTTAGTTAGTTAGTTAGTTAGTTAGTTAGTTAGTAGTTAGTTAGTTAGTTAGTAGTTAGTTAGTTAGTTAGTTAGTTAGTTAGTTAGTTAGTTAGTTAGTTAGTTAGTTAGTTAGTTAGTAGTTAGTTAGTTAGTTAGTTAGTTAGTTAGTTAGTTAGTTAGTTAGTTAGTTAGTTAGTTAGTTAGTTAGTTAGTTAGTTAGTTAGTTAGTTAGTTAGTTAGTTAGTTAGTTAGTTAGTTAGTTAGTTAGTTAGTTAGTTAGTTAGTTAGTTAGTTAGTTAGTAGTTAGTTAGTTAGTTAGTTAGTTAGTTAGTTAGTTAGTTAGTTAGTTAGTTAGTTAGTTAGTTAGTTAGTTAGTTAGTTAGTTAGTTAGTTAGTTAGTTAGTTAGTTAGTTAGTTAGTTAGTTAGTTAGTTAGTTAGTTAGTTAGTTAGTTAGTTAGTAGTTAGTTAGTTAGTTAGTTAGTTAGTTAGGTTAGTTAGTTAGTTAGTAGTTAGTTAGTTAGTTAGTAGTTAGTTAGTTAGTTAGTTAGTTAGTTAGTTAGTTAGTTAGTTAGTTAGTTAGTTAGTTAGTTAGTTAGTTAGTTAGTTAGTTAGTTAGTTAGTTAGTTAGTTAGTTAGTTAGTTAGTTAGTAGTTAGTTAGTTAGTAGTTAGTAGTTAGTTAGTTAGTTAGTTAGTGTTAGTAGTTAGTAGTTAGTAGTTAGTAGTTAGTTAGTTAGTTAGTTAGTTAGTTAGTAGTTAGTTAGTTAGTTAGTTAGTTAGTTAGTTAGTTAGTTAGTTAGTTAGTTAGTTAGTTAGTTAGTTAGTTAGTAGTTAGTTAGTTAGTTAGTTAGTAGTTAGTTAGTTAGTTAGTTAGTTAGTTAGTTAGTTAGTTAGTTAGTTAGTTAGTTAGTAGTTAGTTAGTTAGTTAGTTAGTTAGTTAGTTAGTTAGTTAGTAGTTAGTTAGTTAGTTAGTTAGTTAGTTAGTTAGTTAGTTAGTTAGTTAGTTAGTTAGTTAGTTAGTTAGTTAGTTAGTTAGTTAGTTAGTTAGTTAGTTAGTTAGTTAGTTAGTTAGTTAGTTAGTTAGTTAGTTAGTTAGTTAGTTAGTTAGTAGTTAGTTAGTTAGTTAGTTAGTTAGTTAGTTAGTTAGTTAGTAGTTAGTTAGTTAGTTAGTTAGTTAGTTAGTTAGTTAGTTAGTAGTTAGTTAGTTAGTTAGTAGTTAGTTAGTTAGTAGTTAGTTAGTTAGTAGTTAGTTAGTTAGTTAGTTAGTTGGTTGGTTAGTTACACATATTATATTTGAGTTGTAGGTAAAATCATTTTGTGCCGATTGGTATTATTTTCCGATATTTTAAAAATCGATTTAAACACATTACAAAACTGTTTCTAAACTTCTTTTCTTTCGTCTTAAAATCAAAAATGAAATTTTACTTACCATCAGGATCACGCCTTCGGCGGCCATTAGTATTTGCTACTTGACCATTCATGGGTAAAACTGCAATTAAAAGAGAAAATTTTTTTTATTCAAAACTAAACAATTTAAAAAAATTTTATCAAAAAATAAAGTTAAAGTTTAAATTCGAATCAATATGCAAGTGCTTGTTTAAAAAAATCAATAAACTACATGCATTCACTAGTACAGAAAAAATTCCTTTATTGTTAATAACTTTTTTTTCAACTCTCTATGAAAATATATTTTTTTTTTTATTTTTGTTTTTTTTTTTAACCAACAAACGTGTAATAAGTTAGAAAGCCGGCTAACAACTAAATCAGAAATTAAGTTCATAGAACCTTTTAAAAAAAATAAGTCTATATGTATGTATTAACTAATGTGTGTATAGTATACATACGTCTATGTGTGTGTTAGTTTAGAAGTACATACAATATAACATATAGCTTTTTTTGTAAAGGACTTTGGTCAACAAACAACAACAAAGCTATAACGACAACTACAAAAACATTTAACTAACAGTGTTTTTTATTGTTATCAACTCCATCGTTTTAGAAATTGTAAACGTCAAATTGCTGGTAAGTTTTCATTAATGCTGTTGTTTTTCATAGTAGTGCTCTAACAATGAAGTTTCCAATTAACTTAAATTTGTTGGTTTTAACAGGTTGATGTGTGCTATATTTAAGGGTTTGTGTTTTAGTTATTAAAGGAAGAAATTTTGAAATAAAAAAATTAAACTTTAAAGGCAAGATGTTTTACATATTTGTCTTCTGGAACAACAATTTGTCCAAAATCTTCCATATGCGTACATACATATGTATATTCGTATTTTTGTGTAATTTTCTTTTTTATTATATCTATGATTATCAATATTTACACAAATATTCACTCTTTTGTAAAAACATACATATTTATCACAAATATTAATTTATATCTTTTAATTATGTTGATTTTAGGCTTTATTTATTTGTGTTATGTGTTATTAATTGTCTCATACTTATGTATACATTCTACGGCAATTAATTAAATGAAGATAAATACCTTCATATTCATAAAAATAATTTCCTTGGCTTTTAAATTGAGGTATTTTCCGCTTAGTAAGTGACAAAAAATACGTACGAAAACTAATTTTTCAAAAAACGAAAAGTGAAGTATCAAGGCCGTTCAGATAGAAAGAGGCCTTGTCAACAATATAAATCAATTATCAATTGTTAACTGACAATTCTATTTATATATGTTAATAGGTATGCAAGTACATATATATATATGTAAGTAGGTGTTCTTATGTACCAGCAAAGTCAATGACATATGTATGCCTTATTTTCAAAGATTCATGCGAAGTTATACTATATTGAGCCACTACAGTCAAAAAGTGAGAACACAAAAGTATCCAATTTTCAGGAGAATTTTTAGCAATTTTGTATTCCCTATACATACGTGGCGTATGAGTGTTAAATAAATGTATAGCTTATAAAAAAGTATACGACATAGTGTACAACAAATCTAGCTTTTAATATTTCTTTGATCCAGAGCGGATACAAATGTATCCTTGTAGAGAGTTGACCTGGGTCGAATCAAGGGCCCTTATGAACACATGAACCGGTAACACACAGGACGGAGTTTCGCACTTTGTCTCTTCACGTTTATTGATCTAACTAACTAACTAACTAACTAACTAACTAACGAACGAACTAACGAACGAACTAACTAACGAACTAACTAACTAACTAACTAACTAACTAACTAACTAACTACTAACTAACTAACTAACTAACTAACTAACTAACTAACTAACTAACTAACTAACTACAACTAACTAACTAACTACTAACTAACTAACTCTACTAACTAACTAACTAACTAACTAACAACTAACTAACTAACAACTAACTACTAACTAACTAACTAACTAACTAACTAACTAACTAACTAACTAACAACTAACTAACTAACAACTAACTAACTAACTAACTAACTAACTAACTAACTAACTAACTAACTAACTAACTAACTAACTAACTACTAACTAACTAACTAACTAACTAACTAACTAACTACACTAACTAACTAACTAACTAACTAACTAACTAACTAACTAACTAACTAACTAACTAACTAACTAACTAACTAACTAACTAACTAACTAACTAACTAACTACTCACTAACTAACTAACTAACTAACTAACTAACTAACTAACTAACTAACTAACTAACTAACTAACTAACTAACTAACTAACTACTAACTAACTAACTAACTAACTACTAACTAACTAACTAACTAACTAACTAACTACTACTAACTAACTAACAACTAAACTAACTAACTAACTAACTAACTAACTAACTAACTAACTAACTAACAACTAACTAACTAACTAACTAACTAACTACTAACTAACTAACTAAACTAACTAACTAACTAACTACTAACGAACTACTAACAACTACTACTAACTAACTAACTAACTAACTACACTAACTAACTAACTAACTAACTAACTAACTAACTAACTAACTAACTAACTAACTACTAACTAACTAACTAACTAACTAACTAACTAAACTAACTAACAAACTAACTAACTAACTAACTAACTAACTAACTAACTAACTAACTAACTAACTAACTAACTAACTAACTAACAACTAACTAACTAACTAACTAACTAACTAACTACTAACTAACTAACTAACTAACTAACTAACTACTAAACTAACTAACTAACTAAAACTAACGAACGAACTAACTAACTAACTAACTAACTAACTAACTAACTAACTATAACGAACTAACTAACTAAAACAAACGAACACAACTAACTAAAAAACTAACTAACACTAACAACTAACTAACGAACTAACTAACTAACTAACTAACTAACTAACTAACTAACTAACTAACTAACTAACTAACTAACTAACTAACTAACTAACTAACTAACTAACTAACTAACTAACTAACTAACTAACTAACTAGCATACGCCTAGGTATACTACAAATCCAACTAAATATTATTTTCTTGTTTTAACAAAAAATTTATAAAAATAACTACTAATGATAATGTTTCTTTCCAAAAAAAAAATAAACAACTAATGATTAAAATAATACCCGAAAAGCAACTAAATATGAAAGAAAATTAACGAAACAATTTCCAAAAATACTCTTAACTACTATTGGTTTCTTTAAGAAAACAAAACAACTATAATTTATTATGATTTCTGATAAATTGTGAAATAATTAGTAAATACTAGAAAAGAAAAACTCTCATAAGGGCCAAAAACAAACAAACAAATTCCAACAAATCATTGCTAAATATCTGTATATAAAAATACTAAAAGCACTTGTTGCCGTTTTTTAGATATAAACAAAAAGATTTCATCATATAAATTCCCTTGAACACGTTTTAACATGTTAATCCATATAAAACAAATTTATCAAATAAATAACTGTAGACACCTTTAATTAGCAACAAAAATGTGTTCTTTTTTTTTTCTTTGTAAATATACAAACCACATTCCATTTTTTGTACAAAAAAAACACGCAATATACGCATTTTTTATAAAATTTCTTTTTTATTAGTATTAGTGTCACTGGGTTAACAAACCAAAAGTCCAAAGGGAATTTTTTTCAATGAAAAACTTCAAACTTAAGGTAAAAAAGTATTCGGTCTACAATTTCCTTTGCATGTTAACGAAACATAAAAGCAAGCAAAACACTTTGCCGATTAAATTGACAATTAAAAAGAACACAAATAAAGTATTTCATATAGTGTAGGAAATTTAAGTGTTTGAAATTCACATTTAATAATTAAGATAATTATGTTTGTTTTTTTTTTTTTTTCTTGTCGTTCTTTTGTTGGCAGTTTTATGTTCTATGACTATAAAAGTTAAGTGATAATAAAAGGATTCAATTCCCAGTAGAAGAAGTTCTGCACAACCCTTTATGCTTGACCAAGTCAATTAGTCAAATGTAAATGTAGTTCTTTAGAATTTTCATAGTTGCTATTTAAAATATTGTATTGTTAACATTATTGAGTTGAATAATCAATTATGAAGAAAATAACTCAAGGTTAAGCATACTAGTGCAAAATATCACTTAAATTTTAGTTGAGGTATAACTAAAGGTTAATAATCTTACACTAATGAAGTGTCATTAGCCATAGTATCGATTTGATTATATTATAATAACGATAAAAATCAATTTTAGAATGGAAACATATATGTCTGTTTTCTGGCTAAAATCGAGGACTTAGGGAAAAATATAAGAAATATGCAACTAAAAATCAATTTTCTGGCAAAAACTAGAGGTCATAGGGCAAAAATAATTCAATTTCAGAAGAAACATAAAAGTCCAATTTCTTGCTAAAGTAATGAAAATCTTAGTTAGTTAGTTAGTTAGTAGTTAGTTAGTTAGTTAGTTAGTTAGTTAGTTAGTTAATTAGTTAATTAGTTAGTTAGTTAGTAGTAGTTAATTAGTTAGTTAGTTAGTTAGTTAGTTAGTTAGTTAGTTAGTTAGTTAGTTAGTTAGTTAGTTAGTTAGTTAGTTAGTTAGTTAGTTAGTTAGTTAGTTAGTTAGTTAGTTAGTTAGTTAGTAGTTAGTTAGTTAGTTAGTTAGTTAGTTAGTTAGTTAGTTAGTTAGTTAGTTAGTTAGTTAGTTAGTTAGTTAGTTAGTTAGTTAGTTAGTTAGTTAGTTAGTTAGTTAGTTAGTTAGTTAGTTAGTTAGTTAGTTAGTTAGTTAGTTAGTTAGTTAGTTAGTAGTAGTTAGTTAGTTAGTTAGTAGTTAGTTAGTTAGTTAGTTAGTAGTTAGTAGTTAGTTAGAGTAGTTAGTTAGTAGTTAGTAGTAGTTAGTTAGTTAGTTAGTTAGTTTGAGTTAGTAGTTAGTTAGTTAGTTAGTTAGTTAGTTAGTTAGTTAGTTAGTTAGTTATAGTTAGTTAGTTAGTTAGTAGTTAGTTAGTTAGTTAGTTAGTTAGTAGTTAGTTAGTTAGTTAGTTAGTAGTTAGTTAGTTAGTTAGTTAGTTAGTTAGTTAGTAGTTAGTGAGTTAGTTAGTTAGTAGTTAGTTAGTTAGTAGTTAGTTAGTTAGTTAGTTAGTTAGTAGTTAGTAGTTAGTTAGTTAGTAGTTAGTTAGTTAGTTAGTTAGTTAGTTAGTTAGTTAGTTAGTAGTTAGTTAGTTAGTTAGTTAGTTAGTTAGTAGTTAGTTAGTTAGTAGTTAGTTAGTTAGTAGTAGTTAGTTAGTAGTTAGTTAGTAGTTAGTTAGTTAGTTAGTTAGTTAGTTAGTTAGTTAGTTAGTTAGTTAGTTAGTTAGTTAGTTAGTTAGTTAGTTAGTTAGTAGTTAGTTAGTTAGTTAGTTAGTTAGTTAGTTAGTTAGTTAGTTAGTTAGTTAGTTAGTTAGTTAGTTAGTTAGGTTAGTTAGTTAGTTAGTAGTTAGTTAGTTAGTTAGTTAGTTAGTTAGTTAGTTAGTTAGTTAGTTAGTTAGTTAGTAGTAGTTAGTTAGTTAGTTAGTTAGTAGTTAGTTAGTTAGTTAGTTAGTTAGTTAGTAGTTAGTTAGTTAGTTAGTTAGTTAATAGTTAATTTGTTAGAGGATCAAATTCAAAGAACTACCTCTAGGCCTTCATCGGTGTTGTTGCGCGCCCCCTTACTAGTGGCTCAGGTGAGAATCGAACCCAGGACATCCGGTCCAACGGACAATTGCACTAACCAGCAACCTATCGGAGCCCTCACCCTACCAAAAACTTCCCTTATTAAGGAATCTATACATCTACTGTCCAAATGTCACGATTCTAAGTTCATCCGTCTGGACTCTGCGATGAAGAATCAGTCATTACTTATAAATACTTCTTTGGAAGTGTACATATAGATACTTATATAGATTGTAGATTAACTTACCCTTTGGTGGTGAGGAATGGTAATATAAACCTTGAAATCTGCGTCTACGTTTTGGTGGCATGATGATTTAGTTTCCTTTAGTTTTATTATTTACGTTTTTATTTGTTTCACTTTATTAATAAAATATATATAAAAATATTATTATTAATGTTGTGTCCCAAATTATTGACCAGTATTAGACCATACATTGGAAAATCCATAGACTATTTGCACAGTATTTATAGTAATTTTCCTCTTTTTTCGTTGTAGTTAACACAGACTGTTGCCTTTTTTGTGCTTTTTTCTTTTTGTTTTATTTAAAATAAAATCGTGCTTTAGTATAATTTATCTGTATTTTTTCCACAACATAAAAAACACTCATTTATAAAGCACATTATAATTTCAATTATTTATAACTTGTTGTTGTTTATTTTAAAATTAATCACATTTTATTAAAAATTTATATCTTTGTCATGTAATATATAAAATTATGTTTCAAACACAATGTACTTTACGTTTAGTATTTCACCATATAAATTGCATACAAATACGAAATAGAAAGGAACAGAGAAAACAGGAAATAATTTATATTTATTATTTAACATTAAGTGTTACACGTTTTATTAGGAATTTCCTTCCTTGTAATAGTCACTTTGCTGTCAATTTAGGTTTTTCTATTAATTTTTCTTTTCAATTGATTTTTTTCATTTTTCCTCGAACTGTAGGCGTTGAGAGTTTATAACAAAGTGTCATTTGCATTGAAATGTTCACAACTAACTTCCGTTTAAGTTCGAAACGAAAAGGCTAATAGTGAATATTCATTCATAGATATTCGAAATTATAGTATAAACGAAAAACTAGTGACACACTCACACACTGAGAAACTAGCGTAGGCGCTGGTCATTTGTTTTCGAAAATATACCTTAACAAAAAACCATCTACTCTTTTATAACAAAAAAAGAATAATTGCTTAAAAAGTAAAAAAAACATACAACACAAAATGAAATGCAGGATAATAAACTCTCATTGAACTAGTATCTCTTTACTCTGGTAAATATGTGTCTGTAGTAAAACCATTAAATTTTTATATTTGTGTGCTCTTTTTTTATTCCTGACTATGTCCCGATAAATATTGTTCGTGTTTGTATTTGGTCACTTTTTTTAAGTTTCTTTTTGACTCATTTTCGTTATAGCATGTTGCATTTGTTATAAGCTTTAATGACACACATATACATATGATTCATTTATGTGCAGACATGCTAAAGAGACAATAACAGAATTGTCCAACTTCTAAGTGGTGCAAAGGACCAAATTGAACCAAAACTAGAACTGAACTAGAACTGAACTAGAACTGAACTAGAACTGAACTAGAACTGAACTAGAACTGAACTAGAACTGAAGAACTGAACTAGAACTGAACTAGAACTGAACTAGAACTGAACTAGAACTGAACTAGAACTGAACTAGAACTGAACTAGAACTGAACTAGAACTGAACTAGAACTGAACTAGAACTGAACTAGAACTGAACTAGAACTGAACTAGAACTTGAACTAGAACTGAACTAGAACTGAACTAGAACTGAACTAGAACTGAACTAGAACTGAACTAGAACTGAACTAGAACTGAACTGAAGTAGAACTGAACTAGAACTGAACTAGAACTGAACTAGAACTGAACTAGAACTGAACTAGAACTGATAGTAGAACTGAAAGTAGAACTGAACTAGAACTGAACTAGAACTGAACTAGAACTGAACTAGATCTGAACTAGAACTGAACTAGAACTGAACTAGAACTGAACTAGAACTGAACTAGAACTGAACTAGAACTGAACTAGAACTGAACTAGAATCTGAACTAGAACTGAACTAGAACTGAACTAGATACTGAACTAGACTGAACTAGAACTGAACTAGAACTGAACTAGAACTGAACTAGAACTGAACTAGAACTGAACTAGAACTGAACTAGAACTGAACTAGAACTGAACTAGAACTGAACTAGAACTGAACTAGAACTGAACTAGAACTGAACTAGAACTGAACTAGAACTGAACTAGAACTGAACTAGAACTGAACTAGAACTGAACTAGAACTGAACTAGAACTGAACTAGAACTGAACTAGAACTGAACTAGAACTGAACTAGAACTGAACTAGAACTGAACTAGAACTGAACTAGAACTGAACTAGAACTGAACTAGAACTGAACTAGAACTGAACTAGAACTGAACTAGAACTGAACTAGAACTGAACTAGAACTGAACTAGAACTGAACTAGAACTGAACTAGAACTGAACTAGAACTGAACTGAAGTAGAACTAAAGTAGAACTGATGTAGAACTGAAGTAGAACTGAACTAGAACTGAACTAGAACTGAAGTAGAACTGAACTAGAACTGAACTAGAACTGAACTAGAACTGAACTAGAACTGAACTAGATCTGAACTAGAACTGAACTAGAACTGAACTAGAACTGAACTAGAACTGAACTAGAACTGAACTAGAACTGAACTAGAACTGAACTAGATCTGAACTAGATCTGAACTAGAACTGAACTAGAACTGAACTAGAACTGAACTAGAACTGAACTAGAACTGAACTAGAACTGAACTAGAACTGAACTAGAACTGAACTAGAACTGAACTAGAACTGAACTAGAACTGAACTAGAACTGAACTAGAACTGAACTAGAACTGAACTAGAACTGAACTAGAACTGAACTAGAACTGAACTAGAACTGAACTAGAACTGAACTAGAACTGAACTAGAACTGAACTAGAACTGAACTAGAACTGAACTAGAACTGAACTAGAACTGAACTAGAACTGAACTAGAACTGAACTAGAACTGAACTAGAACTGAACTAGAATTGAACTAGAACTGCAGTAGAACTGAACTAGAACTGAACTAGAACTGAAGTAGAACTGAAATAGAACTGAACTAGAACTGAAGTAGAACTGAAATAGAACTGAACTAGATAAATAAATCCAATACATACAAAGCTTTGTCCCCCTCTCGTCTAAGGTTTGCCCCACATCTATTTCTGTCCATGTTCATAAAAATGTACACAATCAATTAAATGTCATGTATATGGACACGTAAACGTATGTTTAGAAATTCTATCAATCCTCTATGAGTATATATTTTATGATTCAAATACATTATTTACAAAACACTATTAAATATTGTTATCAGTGGACTATATGTGAGAGGTTAGAACCAACTAACCGATGGCATATTATTAGTTATTTATGATTTTTATTGCAAAATCGTTTCAAAAAAGGAAATAGACAAACATGCAACTATAATGTTATGTTTTCTGTAAGCAAGATGTTGATTACTGTAAACGTAAAGGGGACAAATTTCATGTGATAAAAAGTTAATCGTAGGAATTTTGAAATGAATAATGTAAAATTTCTAAATAAATCAAAGAATAATTTATGAAATGTAAGTTAATGTAAAATATTTTAAAATATATTGTATTAGTAGAAAACTTTATCTGCTGCAATTAAGTTATGAACATTTCAACCATAAATTATCAATGATTTATCTTGATATTTTATTGAAATATAATTTATCAAATGGTGACAAAATAAATCTAAAATAGAAATATGAACATATACATATATTTATATATATCTAAAACTAGTTGATTAATTAGTAATGAAGCATTAAAATTTTCTTTAATTTACGTCATCAATTGTATAAACTTTCAAATTAAAAACGTCAAATTTACTTCTATTGTCCACTATATTTAGTGTCACATGCTTATTACATGTATGTTCAAGGTTAACATTACAAAATTATATACGAAAAAAAAAACGTGTTTAATTGACACACATTAATATTTTACATAAAAAACCTTACTACCTACTCGATATTGTTTTCTACACAAGACAATGACCAATATTTTCGAACTTCAAACGAAATAGTATATAGTTTGTGTGTTAAAATATAGGTCAGTCATTTAAATATAGATAAAAAAACTTTAGCTAGATAATAAATTATGCGTGTGTCAAATGATGAAGAAAATATAAAGAAACCACTTAAACTTAACAATGAATTGTTAAATTTCTTTTAGAGTAATTTCCTTTTTATTAACTTCTTCTTGCTTTACACACTCTAATACAAAGTTATAATAAAAGACAATTTAATTGAAATTTACAAAAATAACCTTGAAATTCAAACCAGCTATAGGCTATTACATCGACTAGTCAATAGACTAGTTCATAGTTAGATCAATAGACTAGTCCATAGTCTCAACAATAGAATAGTCAATTACCCAGTTGGTAGACTAGTCCCCAAACTAGTCCATGGGCTCAACAAAAGACTAATTTATAGAATATACAACAGACTGGTCCATTAACTAGTCACTGGACTAGCACATAACCTAATCAATAGCTCAAAATTTATTCAGTTTCCCTATCCTTTACTTCCATATTTTCTTAAATTTTGTGGTCATGCAACATTAACTTATTATACCCTACACCACTTCAGTGGGGAGGGTATATTGGGTTTTGTGCTGATGTTTGTAACGCACAATAATATTGGTCCTATACCCACCTTAAAGTATACCAATCGGCTCAAAATCATTTTCTGAGTCGATTTAGCTATGTCCGTCCATCTGTCCGTCCGTCCATGTAAACCTTGTAATCAAACTACAGGTCGCAATTTTGAAGATAATTGAATGAAATTTGGTACATGAGGGACGAAGCCTATTGAAAATGGTTAACATCGGTCCATTATTTCACCTAGCCCCCATACAACTGAACCCCCGAATAGGGCTTTTAAATTTTGTAATCAAACTACAGGTCGCAATTTTGGAGATAATTCAATGAAATTTGGCACATGATCTTTTGTGGTACCGTAGACAAAGTCTATTAAAAATGGTTAACATCGGTCCATTATTTCACCTAGCCCCCATACAACTGAACCCCCGAATAGGGCTTTTAAATTTTGTAATCAAACCACAGGTCGCAATTTTGGAGATAATTCAATGAAATTTGGCACATGATCTTTTATGGTATCGTAAACGAAGCCAGTTGAAAATGGTTTACATCGGTCCATTATTTCACCTAGCCCCCATACAACTGAACCCGCCGAATAGGGCTTTTAAGTTCATAATTATGTTAAATATATTCATATCTCGAAAAAAAAGCTGCAAAAACCAAGTTGTATATAAGATTTGATGACCCTCATGAATTCCATAATAATAGGTCCTCATATGACCCTAGCCCCTATGAAAAGACCCCATCAAAATTTCACTTAAATGTCCACAATTTTATTCAACAATAAACGGCTTAAGTATGTATATCTGAAGGTACAATTCAATTTTAATGCTTTATTATGGCAAATAAATCACATTATATTTTTGTCAAAGGTGTAGGGTATTATATGGTCGGCCTCGCCCGACTATAATTTCTTACTTGTTTTATTTTATTTTAGCTTTTAACTAATATAATAGTAGCCGTTTAATCGGTATTGTTTTCGTTTAAAAGAAATACAAAACTATAAATATTTTATTAGCTTTAGAATTGCTAATTTTATAAGAACTTTTTCTTATATCCAATTTGCATAATTTATAATAAATTGAACGTTAATTGAAATAAGTTCTTTTAATTTGCAGTGAATTTAAACTTTAAAAGAAAAAAGTTAGACAATTACCTAATTACAGAAATTTATAAAAAATTTTATTAATTTAAAAACACAAAAAAAATTCAAAAGAAAATTTGATCCCCTGTTTTTGGAATTTTTTTTCAAAATTTTAAAATAACGCACTATTGAAAGATTTTATTGAAATTAAAAAATTAAGTCTTTTTATGTTATTTATACATTTAAAATTATTACAGTGCGTATACTTTATTTAACATCTTAGTTAAATATTCATCATGCGCCTTATCCCAGACAAAAAACATTGAAAAATTTTCATAAACATTTTTTAGAAATTTTTAATTTGAAACTGAAGACTTCGTTTAATATTTTAATATCGAAAGTATTTTTAATTAAAAAAATTAGGTTTTTAATATTATTGCTACATTTCAAGTTATTATGGTGCGTATACTTTATTTAACAGCTTAGTTAAATGTTCATCATACGCCTTATCCTACATAAGCGAAATTTTGAAAGAGAAAGAAACCACAATGTAATTGCTAAACGACTAGTTTGATTTTATTAAAACTTCTCATGTCGATAGAAGCAAACTTGCTGAATCCAAAGTAGTACCTCTAGACCTAGACCTCTTACATCTACGAGGGTTGGTAAAATACACCACCTACAAAATTTGTAATAATTTAAACAAAAAATCCGTCAAAAAAACTGTGTCTATTTTAAAAAGATATATTTCAATAAAGGAAATTGTGTTAAGAAACCCCAATTTATAAAGAAACTGCACTCTAGGTGAAGAAGGCTTATGCACCACAAAATGGTGCAACTCCACTTGGAGACCGCGTTACGAACATACTTTTCCTGAAAGAATTTTTTTATTTGATAATAACTTAAGAATACACTATTCTATAGAAAACTGCTCGACGAAAAACATTCGCGATAAAAAACGTTTCCAAAATTTAATTTTTCATTAGAAAACTTAACTACAATGAAACTTTTCTGCAGAAAACTTTCGAAAGAAGCAACTTTTCTATATAAAAAAACATTTTATTTGAAAACTGTAAAAAGCTTTTCTATAGACTTAAGAAGAAAGTTTTCTATAGAAAAGTAGAGAGTTTTCTATAGAACACTGTCTTAAGTAGAAACTTTTCTAAAGAAAATTGTCTTAATAAAAAACGTTTCTCTAAAAAGAACATTTTCTATAGGAAACTTTCTTAGGAAGAAACTTTATTATAGGAAACCGTATTCAGAAGAAACTTTTCTATGAAAAAACGTCTTCAGAAGAAATTTTTCTATAGAAAAGTAGAGAGTTTTCTATAGAAAACTGTCTTAAAAAGAAATTTTTTATAGAAAACTGTCTTAAGGAGAAACGTTTGTATAGAAGAAGCATTTCTATAAAAACTGTCGTAAAAAGAAATCTTTCTATAGAAAACTGTCTTAAGGAGAAACTTTTCTATAGAAAACTGTCTTGAGAAGATTGTTTTCAATAGAAAACTGTGTTAATAAGAGACCTTTCATATAAAACTGACTTAAGAAGAGACTTTTCTATAGAAAACTTCTCAATAAGAAACTTTTCTACATAGAACTGTCTTAAGAAGAAACTTTTCTATAGAAAACTGTCTTAAGAAGAATGTTTTCAATAGAAAACTGTCTTAAGATGAAACTTTTCTATAGAGAACTCTCTTAAAAAGAAACTTTTCTATAAAAAACTGTATTAATAAGAAACTTTTCTATAAGAAACTTTTCTATAGAAATTTGTCTTAAGAAGAAACTTTTCTATATAGAACTCTCACAAGAAGAAACTTTTCTTTAGAAAACTGTCTTAAGAAGAATGTTTTCAATAGAAAACTGTCTTAAGACGAAACTTTTCTATGGAGAACTCTCTTAAAAAGAAACTTTTCTATAAAAAACTGTTTTAATAAGAAACTTTCCTATAGAGAACTCTCTTAAGAAGAAACTTTTCTATAAAAAACTATTTTAAGAAGAAACTTTTCTATAGAAAACTGTGTTCAGAAGAAACCATTCAATAGAAAACTGTCTTAAGAAAAACTTTATTATAGAAAACTATAGGAACTTTTCATAGAAAACTGACTTAAGAAAAGACTTTTCTATAGAAAACTGTTTTAATAAGAAACTTTTCTATAGAAAATTGTCTTATGAAGAAACTTTTCTATATAGAACTCTGACAATAAGAAACTTTTCTTTAGAAAACTGTCTTAAGAAGTATGTTTCCAATAGAAAACGGTGTTAATAAGAGACCTTTCATATAAAACTGACTTAAGAAGAGACTTTTCTATAGAAAACTGCTCAATAAGAAACTTTTCTACAGAGAACTGTCTTAAGAAGAAACTTTTCTATTGAGAACTTTCTTAAGAAAAAGCGTTTCTTTAGTAAACTGTCTTATGAAGAAAGTTTTCTATTGGAAACTGTCTGAAGAAGGCACTTTTCTGTAGAAAGTTGTCTTAAGGAGAAACTTTCTACCTTAAGAAGAAACTTTTCTATAGAAAAAGTTTTCTATAGCAGAGAGATTTCGAAGACACTTTTCTATAGCAAAGTGTCTTAAGGAAAAACGTTTTGGAAACTGTCTAAATAATAATAACTTTTCTGAAGTAAACTGTCTAAAAAAGAAACTTTTCTATAGAAAATTGTCTTAAATAGAAAACTGTCTTAAAAATAAGATTTTCTATAAATAAAATTGTCTTAAGAAGAAACTTTTCTATAGAAAACTGTCTTAAGAAGAAACTTTTCTATAGAAAACTGTCTTAAGAAGAAACTTTTCTATAGAAAACTGTCTTTAGAAAAAGAATTTCTATAAAAAACTGTCTTAATAACAAACTTTTCTATAGAAAACTGCCTTAAGAAGAAACATTCCTATAAAAACTGTCGTAAAAAGAAACTTTTCTATAAAAAACTGTCTTAAGAAAAACTTATCTATAGAAAATTATCTTAACAGTAAGCTACCAAAAAATGTTTCTATAGAGAACAGACTTCAGAACTTTTCTATAATGTCTTTTTATAGAAAACTGTCTTAAGAAGAAAGTTTCTTAAATAAAAATTTCTTTAAAATAAACGTTTCTATATAAAACTAATTAAGAAGAAAGAGGAAAGTTTTCTATAGGATGATGTCTTCTTGAAAAAGTTTCTATTTTTATATGTTGTTGTGTCGGAGCTTGTATTTTCCCTCAATGGTTAAATGTCAAAACCTTCACAAAACAATTTTTAATAATGAAAAACTACTATTAAAAATTAAATACCACTAATAGTTATTAACTATTTTCATTTAAATTTTTTTCATTTATTTTGCAATACATATTTTTTTCCACAAACCACATTGCAAATGCCATGAATTATTAATCAATATTTTCTTTTGCCCTTAAGTGTTAGTTAATAATTATTGATTTATTTCGATTTCAATAATAAATATTTTTTATAACAATTATAATTAACACAAATTTGTTTTCTCAACACTCGCAACCTTCAAATTGTACTAACACTTTCTTAAGCAAACTATTCACACTTCACTTGAAGTATACACAATGACCCTGCTCTCTAACAGGAGTCGTATAACATGGTCAATGTCCTTTAAAATTAAATGCAAATTTATGCAATTTCTAGTTGTATAAACAATAAATCACAAGCATTTCAAGTTTTGCCTTTAACTTGTTTTTACAGGTGTTCTTATGAGTTAAGGTATAAAAGTAAATTTTCACACAATTTATAAATTTTTTTTTAATTTTAGCACACTTTTCTTTAAAGTTTTTTTTATTAATATTTTCCTTTTTAAAGTCGTCTTTTTAGTTCGCGTATCCTTTAAAGACTGTGTCATATCCCTTTAATGCATGGGTGTTTTATCTAATTTTTCTCTTCTATGAATTGTTGATTTTTTTTTGTCTTTGTAAAAGAAAATTTACAATTTTATATCAAAGAGAGAATTTTTGTTTACTATACGTACTTGCTATAGTTGTTGTTTGTATTATTTTGTCTTATTGTTTTTGCTAAAACGTTTGTTGTTGTATTAGCTGTTATGTATTTGTGTGAGTGAAAACAATGCAATTCTATCGGAGGTTTTGTGTCTGTATAGAATTTAGCAATTACTTCGTGTATGTGGGTGGTTGAGGTTGGCAGAAATTTTTTATTTATCAGGGTTCCGCAAGGTATTTTTAGTAGGAGGCTAGATTATAGACTAGACTATAGACTAGACTATAGACTAGACTATAGACTAGACTATAGACTAGACTATAGACTAGACTATAGACTAGACTATAGACTAGACTATAGACTAGACTATACACTAGACTATACACTAGACTATACACTAGACTATACACTAGACTAGACACTAGACTATAGACTAGACTATAGACTAGACTATAGACTAGACTATAGACTAGACTATAAACTAGACTATAGACTAGACTATAGACTAGACTATAGACTAGACTATAGACTAGACTATAGACTAGACTATAGACTAGACTATAGACTAGACTATAGACTAAGACTATAGACTAGACTATAGACTAGACTATACACTAAACTATACACTAGACTATAGACTAGACTATACACTAAACTATACACTAGACTATAGACTAGACTATACACTAAACTATACACTAGACTATAACTAGACATAACTAAGACTATACACTAGCCTATAGACTAGACTATAGACTAGACTATAGACTAGACTATAGACTAGACTATAGACTAGACTATAGACTAGACTATAGACTAGACTATAGACTAGACTATAGACTAGACTATAGACTAGACTATAGACTAGACTATAGACTAGACTATAGACTAGACTATAGACTAGACTATAGACTAGACTATAGACTAGACTATAGACTAGACTATAGACTAGACTATAGACTAGACTATAGACTAGACTATAGACTAGACTATAGACTAGACTATAGACTAGACTATAGACTAGACTATAGACTAGACTATAGACTAGACTATAGACTAGACTATAGACTAGACTATAGACTAGACTATAGACTAGACTATAGACTAGACTATAGACTAGACTATAGACTAGACTATAGACTAGACTATAGACTAGACTATAGACTAGACTATAGACTAGACTATAGACTAGACTATAGACTAGACTATAGACTAGACTATAGACTAGACTATAGACTAGACTATAGACTAGACTATAGACTAGACTATAGACTAGACTATAGACTAGACTATAGACTAGACTATAGACTAGAATATAGACTAGACTATAGACTAGACTATAGACTAGACTATAGACTAGACTATAGACTAGACTATAGACTAGACTATAGACTAGACTATAGACTAGACTATAGACTAGACTATAGACTAGACTATAGACTAGACTATAGACTAGACTATAGACTAGACTATAGACTAGACTATAGACTAGCCTATAGACTAGACTATAGACTAGACTATAGACTAGACTATAGACTAGACTATAGACTAGACTATAGACTAGACTATAGACTAGACTATAGACTAGACTATAGACTAGACTATAGACTAGACTATAGACTAGACTATAGACTAGACTATAGACTAGACTATAGACTAGACTATAGACTAGACTATAGACTAGACTATAGACTAGACTATAGACTAGACTATAGACTATACTATAGACTAGACTATAGACTAGACTATAGACTAGACTATAGACTAGACTATAGACTAGACTATAGACTAACTATAGACTAGACTATAGACTAGACTATAGACTAGACTAGACTATAGACTAGACTATAGACTAGACTAGACTATAGACTAGACTATAGACTAGACTATAGACTAGACTATAGACTAGACTATAGACTAGACTATAGACTAGACTATAGACTAGACTATAGACTAGACTATAGACTAGACTATAGACTAGACTATAGACTAGACTATAGACTAGACTATAGACTAGACTATAGACTAGACTATAGACTAGACTATAGACTAGACTATAGACTAGACTATAGACTAGACTATAGACTAGACTATAGACTAGACTATAGACTAGACTATAGACTAGACTATAGACTAGACTATAGACTAGACTATAGACTAGACTATAGACTAGACTATAGACTAGACTATAGACTAGACTATAGACTAGACTATAGACTAGACTATAGACTAGACTATAGACTAGACTATAGACTAGACTATAGACTAGACTATAGACTAGACTATAGACTAGACTATAGACTAGACTATAGACTAGACTATAGACTAGACTATAGACTAGACTATAGACTAGACTATAGACTAGACTATAGACTAGACTATAGACTAGACTATAGACTAGACTATAGACTAGACTATAGACTAGACTATAGACTAGACTATAGACTAGACTATAGACTAGACTATAGACTAGACTATAGACTAGACTATAGACTAGACTATAGACTAGACTATAGACTAGACTATAGACTAGACTATAGACTAGACTATAGACTAGACTATAGACTAGACTATAGACTAGACTATAGACTAGACTATAGACTAGACTATAGACTAGACTATAGACTAGACTATAGACTAGACTATAGACTAGACTATAGACTAGACTATAGACTAGACTATAGACTAGACTATAGACTAGATTATAGACTAGACTATAGACTAGACTATAGACTAGACTATAGACTAGACTATAGACTAGACTATAGACTGGACTATAGACTAGACTATAGACTGGACTATAGACTAGACTATAGACTAGACTATAGACTAGACTATAGACTAGACTATAGACTAGACTATAGACTAGACTATAGACTAGACTATAGACTAGACTATAGACTAGACTATAGACTAGACTATAGACTAGACTATAGACTAGACTATAGACTAGACTATAGACTAGACTATAGACTAGACTATAGACTAGACTATAGACTAGACTATAGACTAGACTATAGACTAGACTATAGACTAGACTATAGACTAGACTATAGACTAGACTATAGACTAGACTAGACAGTTTTCTATAGAAACTTTTTCCATAAGACAAATTTCAATAGAAATATTTCTTCTGAAGGTTCTTTACTAACTAAAAAGTTTCTTTACTAACTAAAAAAAGATAACTACTCCATACCCTGTCTTAAAGCAATTGTTATTGTTCTATCAGGAAGGTATCTGTCTAACAATATGTTCTAGTCTAATGGAATTTCTATGTTAGCGTGTAGTTAAAACTAAAACATTTGGGTGTCACTATTATAGAATAAATCAACAAATGAACGATTAAAGACAAAACATAGCAAAGTAAAAGAATTTAAAAACTATTAACTTACCAACACTGAAATCAAACGCTTAAAACAGAAACACAATAAAAGCGTCAACGAAATTTTGTAAACATTTTAAAATAAAAAAAAATCATTCATAATTAACATGAGATTTTCAAAATATTTTTGATTTATTACTGCATACATGTTTTTTTTTTTTTTTTTTTGTTAACTACATATTACATCTTTGTTTCAATTAGTTAATAACTAAAATATCACGTCTTAACAGCAAAATATATTTATATGTTTAATTGTATATAGATTTAATACTAAATATGTTTAAAAACCTAAAATTATTATAAAAAAATATCAATAAATATTCCAAATTAATAAATAGAAATTAATTTTCATTCAGTTCATCCATAGAATAATGTATAGGATTTGTAAATTCGATGTGATCATTTAAAAGAGAATCATCTGTAATAGAAAATTAATTAATTTTTTAATAAATTTTTTATTACTCTTTTTCTTCCTACCCACCCTTTAATTGTTTCTCTTCAAATGTTATAATACTGTTAACAATATTGTTAATAAATTCTTGTGTTAGTGTTTCCGTTATATTAACGGGATCGTAAAAGAGAAAACTTCTCTTATTTCTTGTGTGTTGTTTATTTCTGTTTCTCTTTAACGAACGCCTTGAACGAAATAATGCTAAGCTGATATGCGATTGCTTGAGTGGTATATTATCGGATCCAAATTCCAAACATTTACCCTGAACACAATAACGTTCTTCATTTTGGGAACATTTGGTTCCCAGGGGGAAGTGACCATAATTACCATTCACTAAATAGAAACGATGATGTATAAATTCATCTTGACAGCCAACACGACAACTACGATCGGGATCTTCAACACTGGACGCAATTTGTATACCACGACCGGAGAGCCCTAGCACTTTAAGTTTATAGCGCGCACAGGTGTGATCTGCGTACTCGGTGGTAGTTTGTAGGCGTTCACATGGCTGGAGAGAAAGAGAAATTGTATAGAATATAATAAAGGCAGATTGTTTTAGTTCCCAGGTCTAGTCTATTGCCTAGTCTAAAGCATAGTCTAAAGCCTAGTCTAAAGCCTAGTCTAAAGCATAGTCTAAAGCCAAGTCTAAAGCCTAGTCCTAAAGTCTAGCCTATAGTCTAGTCTACAGTCTAGTCTACAGTCTAGTCATAGTCTAGTCTATAGTCTAGTCTATAGTCTAGTCTATAGTCTAGTCTATAGTCTAGTCTAGTCTCTAGTTAGTCTATAGTCTCGTCTATAGTCTAGTCTATAGTCTAGTCTAAGTCTAGTCTATAGTCTAGTCTATAGTCTAGTCTATAGTCTAGTCTATAGTCTAGTCTATAGTCTAGTCTATAGTCTAGTCTATAGTCTAGTCTATAGTCTAGTCTATAGTCTGTCTATAGTCTAGTCTATTAGTCTAGTCTATAGTCTAGTCTATAGTTCTAGTCTATAGTCTAGTCTATAGTCTAGTCTATAGTCTAGTCTATAGTCTAGTCTATAGTCTAGTCTATAGTCTAGTCTATAGTCTAGTCTATAGTCTAGTCTATAGTCTAGTCTATAGTCTCTAGTCTAGTCTATTAGTCTAAGTCTATAGTCTAGTCTATAGTCTGTCTATAGTCTAGTCTATAGTCTAGTCTATAGTCTAGTCTATAGTCTAGTCTATAGTCTAGTCTATAGTCTAGTCTATAGTCTAGTCTATAGTCTAGTCTATAGTCTAGTCTATAGTCTAGTCTATAGTCTAGTCTATAGTCTAGTCTATAGTCTAGTCTATAGTCTAGTCTATAGTCTAGTCTATAGTCTAGTCTATAGTCTAGTCTATAGTCTAGTCTATAGTCTAGTCTATAGTCTAGTCTATAGTCTAGTCTATAGTCTAGTCTATAGTCTAGTCTATAGTCTAGTCTATAGTCTAGTCTATAGTCTAGTCTATAGTCTAGTCTATAGTCTAGTCTATAGTCTAGTCTATAGTCTAGTCTATAGTCTAGTCTATAGTCTAGTCTATAGTCTAGTCTATAGTCTAGTCTATAGTCTACTCTATAGTCTAGTCTATAGTCTAGTCTATAGTCTACTCTATAGTCTAGTCTATAGTCTAGTCTATAGTCTACTCTATAGTCTAGTCTATAGTCTAGTCTATAGTCTAGTCTAGAGTCTAGTCTATAGTCTAGTCTATAGTCTAGTCTATAGTCTAGTCTATAGTCTAGTCTAGTCTATAGTCTAGTCTATAGTCTAGTCTATAGTCTAGTCTATAGTCAAGTCTTGTTTTACGAAATAATACTTCTGCCAACTTACCTTAACCGAATGTGTACACAGCTGAATATTTTGAATGCCCGTTTCACGATTAACCACCACCTGAATACCGCGAGATTTAATCATACAACTGGAATGGCAACCGGATTTAACAATCCAATCACCATTATCCGCACGTACTGAGGAAACCAATGAAGAAGAAGATTTTGGTTGTGATGATTCAGCCGGTACATGATCATTTAAATGATAACTGTATTTGTTCCAAGGTGAATAGTTGTCCGTCTTACGTTTATAAGAATTGTTATTAGAATACTGACCATGAAAAGGACGCAAAGCCACCTCTATAATATTAAACATAAAAAGTCATTTTTTGTATTTAGAATGAACAGGATTACCTACCATTTTCATATTTACTGCGGATAGTAGTGGGTCCATAAATTCGTTCACTATTACTAGCACCTCTTTCATTATCATAATAATTACTATTAATATTATTACGATATTTATTATTATCATTACGTTCCCCATAACTCCCCGTATATTGGGCCACAGCCGGTATATGATTACTATAATGATTTGATGATCTTCTTATTGTATCATTTTCCATCGAATTCTGTTCATATTTATCTTGTCGCTTACAAAATATTGCATCGATTTTATAATAATTTCCCATAGAATTATCGCAAGAGAATTTCTCACATCTACCTTGTATGCAATAGGAGGGATCTTCATTTCCATAGAGTTTCGAGCGACATGTAGTGCCATCCGGAAAGGTCCATGATCTAGATTTAGTACCATTCGCTTTGGTCTTACAATAAACTTTACACGATTCCTCAATATTGCCCACAATTTGTTCTCCCTCTCCCGTTAAATCCATATCGAATTTTTGAGCTCTTTCGCAAACCTGTTTGGCAAAGTCCTCAATTGTTATGATAGGCACACTATAGCACTGCTTGGCAACACAGGTTTCAAATTTACGATCTCTACCGATGCAACGTCTTTTATAATCGATACATTTGCGGGTGAGTATTTTGAGGCCCGTGCTACCTTCACGCAAACGTTTCGAAGGACCATAAAGACAACTGGAATCACAGGCGCTGGGTTCACTCCATTCACTCCAGCTGCTAGAGGGCTAAAAGGTGATAACTCTTTAACATAGAACTTTATAAATAAATATTTTTTGTTTCTACCTTTTGGTATTCATGCAATAAATGTCCCACTTTAGAGGTTTCCAAAAAGCTGGTTTTATCAAAATTAGCTTTAGCTACTCCGGCAGTTTGTTTGGCAGATGTAAAAGTCTCTGGACGTTTAACCACACAAAAACCACTGCGGCACCACTAAAATCATAAAAACAAATTACTAAACTTTATAATTTTGTTTTTAAATCAACCAACTTACATTGTTATCCCCACAAGAGGTTCCTTCTAAAGCCGGATGTGAGGTCCAAGTATAACGATCTCTTTGGCAATGTAAATCACGACAAATATCAGCTAAAGACTGACTTCTAGCTCGATTAGAGTCTTTGCCATATTTCAACATACACTGATGATTGGCATCGAAACGTTCTCCAGGCAATATACCATCAGCCGAATGATCCAGATTTTGTTTAAACTCACCCACATTAAATAAACATTTAGCCTGTTTTAATCTTAAATAGAAACCAAATTAAGATCTTTACTATATAGTCAGGCTATAGTTTGAAGTTTAGAATAAACTATATAATGGAGTTTAGAGTGGACTATATGTGGACTATAGACCTGCACTATAGGCTGGACACTATTCTAAACTATAGACTTGACTTTAGTGTGGACTAAATAATAGTCTGGACTTTAGAATGGATTACAGTCTGGACTATGGACTGGACTGTAAATTGGACTATACTTTAGTCTGGACTGTGGATTACAGTCTGGAATATGGACTCGATTACAGTATTGGAAATATACTGGGCTGCAGTCTGGACTATAGTCTGAACTATAGATTGGACTATAGTCTGGATTATCGACTATAGTCTGAACTATAGAGTGGTCAATAGTCTAAACTATAAACTGGACTATAGTCAGTACTGTAGACTGGACTATAGACTATAAAATAGTCTGGACTATAGTATGGACTAAATACTGGACTATAGTCTGGACGATAGATTGGACTATAGTCTGGATTATCGACTATAGTCTGGACTATAGAGTGGACAATAGTCTAAACTATAAACTGGACTATCGACTGGACTATATTCTCGACTATAGACTAGAAAATAATCTGGACTATAGTCCGGACTGTAGATTAGACTATAGTCTGGATTATCGATTATAGTCTGGACTATAGTCCGGACTGTAGATTGGACTATATTTTGGACTATAGATAGGCCTATAGTCTGCGCTATAGCCTGGACTATAGAACGAACTTTAGTCTGGACTGGACTACAATCTGGAATACAGTCTGAACTATAGACTGGACTACAGTCTGGACTAAAGACTGCACTATAGTCTGGAATATAGACTGAACTACAGACATGACTATAGTCTGGACTTAAGAATATATATGAACTATATACTAAACTAAAGACATGACTTTAGTCGCGACTATATAATTAATTATAGTAAGGACTATAAATTGAACTATAGTCTGGAGTATGGACTGGATTATAAGCAGAACTACAATAGATTAGTCTATATTCTGAACTACAGACTAGATTACTAGATTATAGATTAGACTATGGTTTCGACTATAGACTATAATCTTGTATAAATATAAAAACAAAAAAAAACTTACTCCAAAAATTTATTTAACGAAGCCCTCGAACACTGTGACCAGGTTATTTTACCACTCCCCAATGTGGGTGACATTATATGTGAGGTGGGATCACAGCTCTGTTCCATTGTATCGTGACGCATACCTAAACTGTAAAATCGAATAGAGCAAACAGATGATCATAAATTATTGTAGCTGTAATTGTTTTGCAGTTGTTGTTGTTTTTAACCTACTTATGTCCAATTTCATGGGCCACAACAAAAACACTTTCAAAGTGTTTGCCCTCATTGATGGTGCACGATGATGTTGGTATACACATGCCAGCCACTGGTGCGAGACCAACAACTTGACTGATCACTTTACCATTTTTACCCACCACATACAAATCAAGACCTTGAAAAAATCGATAAAAAATGTTATGGAAATAATGAATTAATAAAAAAACTGAATAAATTTGTTCTAAGAGAAATCTTTTGGAACAAGAATGATTAATTAATTAAAAATTTAAACGGGTACTTGAATGAGTAATTTGATTTGAAAAAGAATTTTGTAGTGAGACCCTTCACTCACCTGTCAATATAACAGCATGATCAAATCTTAATCCCGTATGCTCTGAGGGATTTAAATCATTTTGCCATTTACAAAAATTACTTAAATATATATCAATATCACTAGATCTTCTCAATTCTGGAGGATCTTTTTCTAAAATTTCCAAACGTTTCAGAACAAAATTAACACGTTTACCCAGCGAAGGATGATGATACAACAATTGAACACCATTGATCATGGCCAAAACAAAACGAATCAAATGTGAACTAGTGTCTTTGGGAAAGTTTTTCGCCATATGTTTGTATAAATCTATATCCACAAAAATGGCCGTTTCAATGTGTAAAACATCGGGTATATTAGAGTATTGGCTGGCGGAATGTATATAGCGTTTGTAGCGCTTAGAGATCGGAGATTCTTCCGGGTATTTGTGGTGATGCTTGTGATGACCTCCAGCCGAGGATGTTTTGTGATGATGGTGTTGATGGTGATTATGATGATGATGATGTCTGGGTTTAAAGCGTAAATTTAGGGGTAACTGATGATGATGTGTTGTGTGATGTATACTACTGCTATATTCCGATTCACTGTCGATATTTCTGGTCGATCTCATGGTGGCCATTTCATCATTAGTGGGTAATTCCAAATTTAAATCATTAAAATCTTCTTCATCCGGTTCAAATTGTATATTTTCATCTAGCAGTGAAGAATTTCTCCAAGAAGTATCGAAAACTTCTCTTTCAGATTCCAAAATAATATGAGAATTATTACCAAATCTCTCGGGTAAAGGATGTATAATGAAATCTGTATTATTGTGATGGAAAACACCACGCTGCAAACAAATATCCAATAAAATTAAAAATTTTCGCTTTCACTTCCGTCTTCAAGCAATCAAAAAAAAAAAAAAAAAGAACTTACCACATTTTCCTCATCGCAAAGGTCAAGTGCTGAGTTTTCATTGTGATAGAAACATTTCTCCAATCTAGTCACTAATTTATGTGAATTCTCTATTAGTTGCGATGAATTGGCGTAACGTCGTATGAATACAAATGAATCGTCAATTAATTTTGGTGTTTGCTGTAGTTTTAAATTGACCAAGTGTTCGTTGTCTGTGGAGAAAATGCAAAAAGTACACAGAAATAAGTTTTCAATAGACCAGAGCATTTAAGAATCGTTTTAAAACTTTAAATGCTGTAAATGAATATCTAGTAGATGGTTGATCGTTTGTTTGGTTGGTTGGTTGCTTTCATGTAAGATGCAAATGCAATTGAAATGCATTGACCGCAAACCATTTTTTTTCTTTCTGTAATAAATTTCCAGCTCAATAGAAAAACATAAAGAGTTAGAGATGTTGTGAAGGTACTAGAGCGTACTTTTGATTTGTGTTAATTGTTTTTGCTACAGTAGCAAGTTATGTTGCATACAGGGTCAGTGGATTACACAACCTTGGGCCCTAAAGACTTGAAAAAGTGATCACGTACATATTTACTTTACTTTGCATTTTACTGATATGATCTCAAACAAACTTTATGAACATATAAAAACTGCCATTCTTATTTCCACTACTACTATTGCAACTACTCCACTGTACCTTGTTAAAAAATCTAACCGTTAACAGATATTTAAATTTACTTAAACTTGAATAAAAATTCAATGCTAATTATTTCTACTAACAAAGAAAAGAAACTGTAAAAAATTAAAATTTATTTATAAACCTATTACAAATTCCGCCCCACAATGCAAGAAAGAGGTCAAAATGTTAAACATTAAATTGTATCTTAATAAAATGTACAAAAAAAAAACAGTACAAAAGTCTCAGCAAAAACAAAAAAAATAGAGAACAATAAAAATTATAGACAAAAAATGGGTAAAATGGAATAAATTTATAGCAGTGCTTCCCAGCAAAACATAAACTATTTGCTAGCCAACACCATATAGTCTAGTCTATAGTCTAGTCTATAGTCTAGTCTATAGTCTAGTCTATAGTCTAGTCTATAGGCTAGTCTATAGTCTAGTCTATAGTCTAGTCTATAGTCTAGTCTATAGTCTAGTCTATAGTCTAGTCTATAGTCTAGTCTATAGTCTAGTCTATAGTCTAGTCTATAGTCTAGTCTATAGTAGTCTATAGTCTAGTCTATAGTCTAGTCTATAGTCTAGTCTATAGTCTAGTCTATAGTCTAGTTATAGTCTAGTCTATCGTCTAGTCTATAGTCTAGTCTATAGTCTAGTCTATAGTCTAGTCTATAGTCTAGTCTATAGTCTAGTCTATAGTCTAGTCTATAGTCTAGGTCTATAGTCTAGTCTATAGTCTAGTCTATAGTCTAGTCTATAGTCTAGTCTATAGTCTAGTCTATAGTCTAGTCTCTAGTCTAGTCTATAGTCTAGTCTCTAGTCTAGTCTATAGTCTAGTCTATAGTCTAGTCTATAGTCTAGTCTATAGTCTAGTCTATAGTCTAGTCTATAGTCTAGTCTCTAGTCTAGTCTATAGTCTAGTCTAGTCCTAGTCTAGTCTTAGTCTAGTCTATAGTCTTAGTCTATAGTCCTAGTCTATAGTCTAGTCTATAGTCTAGTCTATAGTCTAGTCTATAGTCTAGTCTATAGTCTAGTCTATAGTCTAGGTCTATAGTCTAGTCTATAGTCTAGTCTATAGTCTAGTCTATAGTCTAGTCTATAGTCTAGTCTATAGTCTAGTCTATAGTCTAGTCTATAGTCTAGTCTATAGTCTAGTCTATAGTCTAGTCTATAGTCTAGTCTATAGTCTAGTCTATAGTCTAGTCTATAGTCTAGTCTATAGTCTAGTCTATAGTCTAGTCTATAGTCTAGTCTATAGTCTAGTCTATAGTCTAGTCTATAGTCTAGTCTATAGTCTAGTCTATAGTCTAGTCTATAGTCTAGTCTATAGTCTAGTCTATAGTCTAGTCTATAGTCTAGTCTATAGTCTAGTCTATAGTCTAGTCTATAGTCTAGTCTATAGTCTAGTCTATAGTCTAGTCTATAGTCTAGTCTATAGTCTAGTCTATAGTCTAGTCTATAGTCTAGTCTATAGTCTAGTCTATAGTCTAGTCTATAGTCTAGTCTATAGTCTAGTCTATAGTCTAGTCTATAGTCTAGTCTATAGTCTAGTCTATAGTCTAGTCTATAGTCTAGTCTATAGTCTAGTCTATTAGTCTAGTCTATTGTCTAGTCTATAGTCTATTGTCTAGTCTATAGTCTAGTCTATAGTCTAGTCTATAGTCTAGTCTATAGTCTAGTCTATAGTCTAGTCTATAGTCTAGTCTATAGTCTAGTCTATAGTCTAGTCTATAGTCTAGTCTATAGTCTAGTCTATAGTCTAGTCTATAGTCTAGTCTATAGTCTAGTCTATAGTCTAGTCTATAGTCTAGTCTATAGTCTAGTCTATAGTCTAGTCTATAGTCTAGTCTATAGTCTAGTCTATAGTCTAGTCTATAGTCTAGTCTAAAGTCTAGTCTATAGTCTATTGTCTAGTCTATAGTCTATTGTCTAGTCTATAGTCTAGTCTAGTCTATAGTCTAGTCTATAGTTTAGTCTATAGTCTAGTCTATAGTCTAGTCTATAGTCTAGTCTATAGTCTAGTCTATAGTCTAGTCTATAGTCTAGTCTATAGTATAGTCTATAGTCTAGTCTATAGTCTAGTCTATAGTCTAGTCTATAGTCTAGGCTATAGTCTAGTCTATAGTCTAGTCTATAGTCTAGTCTATAGTCTAGTCTATAGTCTAGTCTATAGTCTAGTCTATAGTCTAGTCTATAGTCTAGTCTATAGTCTAGTCTATAGTCTAGTCTATAGTCTAGTCTATAGTCTAGTCTATAGTCTAGTCTATAGTCTAGTCTATAGTCTAGTCTATAGTCTAGTCTATAGTCTAGTCTATAGTCTAGTCTATAGTCTAGTCTATAGTCTAGTCTATAGTCTAGTCTATAGTCTAGTCTATAGTCTAGTCTATAGTCTAGTCTATAGTCTAATCTATAGTCCAGTCTATAGTCTAGTCTGTAATCTATAGTCTAGTCTATAGTCCTAGTCTATAATCTATAGTCTAGTTTACACTCTAGTTTATAGTCAGGATTATAATCCAGTTTATAGACTAGTTTATAGTCTAATTTATAGTCAAGTTTATAGTCTAGTGTATAGTTTAGTCTATAGTCTAGTCTATAGTCTATTTAATAGTCCAGTATAAAGTCTAGTCTATAGATTAATCTAGTCTATATTCTAGTTTAGAGTCTACTCAAGATGATTTACTATTCTGTTCTAGTCAAAAGTATAGTAGAGTGAAAACTATAGTCTTTGATAAACAACTAAGTTTTTGTTGGGATATTCTGAAACATTTTACATACCTTTGATTTGCACTGATACCATTGGCATTGTTGGGGCGCCACCTTGACGTTTTGGCAGTGTTGTTGCTGTTGATGTTTCTGTTGTTGCCTTCTTAAGTACTGCTGCTGGTGGTGGTGATGATGATGATGCAGATGCCACATTGTTAGATCTCTTAAAACGTTGTATGCTTGCTTGAGTGCCACTTTGAAATTTTTTAAGGGGGATCATCTCCTCCTCCGCATCGTCGGCATTAACATTGTTATCAACATCAAGCTTGTTATTGCTGCTGTTGTTGTTGTTTTTATCAACAACATCTTTCGTTGTTGCCTCTGTTTCTCTAGCTGTTGTACGATACTGTAGATGCACCAATTTAACGGAACGTTCTATTAAAGAAAAGTGAAGTGAAGAGAAAAGGAATAGTAGTAGTAACTGCAGAAGTGCTATTATTTTAAACAGACTAGAATAAGTCTTTTCACAAAATCTTTTGATGTTCTTTTCTTTTGTTTTTTTCTGTATTTCTTTATAGAATCGTGCATATTGAATTCCTATTAAATACATGGTTTAAGGTTGTTGTTTGTCTGATGTGGTCTGTTATTGGTTTGGTGTCTTGTTTAGCCTGGTCTTGTCTAGTTAGGGGCATACTTTGTTGGTTTTTTTTATGCCAAGAAAACAAACATTTGCTACAAATTGCTTTTGAGATTTTTTTCATAAAAGTGGAAAATAAAACACAAAGTCAGTTGGTTTAAAAAACGTAATAAAAATTAAACTAAAAGAGATCAACCAACTTAAGTTCAAGTTTATTTGTAAAGCTTATTTCTAAGAATTCAAAATTAAATTATGAATTTAATAGATATGAAGGGAACTATTTATTGTGGTTTCACCTAAATTTCATAATTTGACTGATTGATTGATTAGTTGATTAATTTACTGTTGTTATTTTTTTTCGATTAATTTATTTTATGAAATAACAGTTTGCACCCGGCATTGTTAGGGATTTATGAAGACAAATATGTTTCTTTTCTCAAATGAATTTTAATGAAGTTCATTCTATAGTCAAGATCATTTACTATTCTATAATCAAGAGCACTGACTCTTTTACAGTCAAGATAATTGACTATTCTATACTCAAGATCATTGACTATTCAATACCCAAGATCATTGCCTATTCTATTGTAAAGATCATTGACTATCCTATAGTCATGATCATTGAATATTCTAACTATTCTATAGTTAAGATCATTGCCTATTCTATAGCCAAGATCAATGACTATTGACTATTCTATAGTCAAGATCACTGAATATTCTATAGTCAAGATCATTGACTATTCTATAGTCAAGATCACTGAATATTCTATTGTCAAGATCATTAACTATTCTATAATCAAGATCACTGACTTTTTTACAGTCAAGATCATTGACTATTCTATAGCCAAGATCATTGACTATTATATTGTAAAGATCATTGACTATTCTATAGTCAAGATCATTGACTATTATATAGTCAAGATCATTGATTATTATATAGTCAAGATCATTGACTATTCTATAGTCAAGATCAATGACCATTGACTATTCTATAGTCAAGATCATTGACTATTCTATAGTCAAGATCATTGACTATTCCATAGTCAAGATCATTGACTATTCCATAGCCAAGACATTGACTATTCCATAGTCAAGATCAATGACTATTATATAGTCAAAATCATTGACTATTCTATAGTCAAGATCATTGACTATTCCATAGTCAAGATCAATGATTATTCTATACTCAAGATCATTGACTATTCTATAGTCAAGTTCATTGACTATTCCATAGTAAAGATCATTGACTATTCTACAGTCAAGATCATTGACTATTCAATACCCAAGATCATTGCCTTTTCTATTGTAAAGATCATTGACTATAGCTAAGATAATTGACTATTCTATAGTCAAGATAATTGACTATTCTATTGTCAAGATCATTGACTATTTTTTAGTCAAGATCATTGACTATTCTTTAGTCAAGATCATTGACTATTTTATAGCCAAGATCATTGACTATTCTATAGTCAAGATCATTGACTATTTTTTAGTCAAGATCATTGACTATTCTTTAGTCAAGATCATTGACTATTCCATAGTCAAGATCATTGACTATTCCATAGTCAAGATCAATGACTATTCTATAGTCTACTTCATTGACTATTCTATAGTCAAGATTATTGACTATTCTATAGTCAAGATCATTGACTATTTTATAGTCAAGATCATTGACTATTCCATAGTCAAGATCATTGAATATGCTATAGTCAATACCATTGACTATTCCATAGTCAAGATCATTGAATATTCTATAGTCAAGATCATTGACTATTCTATAGTTAAGATCATTGACTATTCTATAATAAAGATCAATATAGTCAAGATTATTGACAATTCTATAGTCAAGATCACTGACTAGTCTATAGTCAACATCATTAATTACTCTATAGTCAAGATCGTTGATTATTCTATTGTCAACATCACTGACTATTTAATGTTATTAACTCTTCCATAGTCAATACTATTAACTCTTCCATAGTCAATACTATTGACTATTTCATAGTAGTCAAAACTATATTCTATTCTTTAGTCAAGACTACAGTCAAGAATATTGGCTATTATATAGCCAAGACTAACCTTCTAAAAGAATAACTAACAAACAGTTTCTTTTATATAAATATAGAATTAACCAAGTGTATTACATGTAATTTAATATGCCGGTGGTGTGTTGCATCAATGATTTCTATTGCAAATTTATTTTAAAATTTAACAAACGCCAGTATTATTGTAAGCAATGTTTTACATATTGATTTTTAATCTATTTGAGCTAAAAATCATATAATTTACTTTACAAAATTTTAAGAACATACTTACTTTTTCTTGATTTACCAAATATTAAATCTTTTTCATGGTCTTCTAGATGATCTAGTAAATTAGTTTCATCAATCTGCAAAAAAAGTAAAATAAAAAAACATTTTAATAAAAAGTTTATAAGATTGGAGTCAAAAGACCCTAAACAATCCAAACAACGCACATAGATACACATAAAAACGTATAAAAAACCATCACTTTCACTTCAATCTTTATGTCAAAATCTAAAGCTAATACTGCTCTAATTTCAAGACATGAAAAATTTTCTTGTAGGAAAATTTTTCTCTGAAAAACAATTAGTTAAAAAAAAAACTACAATAACATAAAAAGTTTTAACCGCTGAAAGATGTTTTTCAAAAATTTAAAACAAAAAATTACCTTTGGTGCCATAAACCCCAGAAAATTTACATAGTTTCAATTTTTTCCTAAGAAACTTAGTTGTTAATTAAACACTCTATAGCTTTATTTTAAATATGTGTTTTAGTATATTATACGATTATGAGTTGAAAATAACAAAAATAAAACATAGCTTTTTTTTATTCATGAGTAAAGAGTACATCATTTTTGTAGGGGGGGACGATAGCTGGGAGAAAAGCTCACGCTTATGCGTATTTAATTCAACCATGCATAAATCTATTTTATTATATCAACCATGCATTTGTTTAAAAACTAAAGAATTGGTATGGTTGTTATTGTTGTTATTGGTGGCATAAATAATACTCCCCTGTACATACAACTCCTCCTCCGTGACACAACACTATGCTAGACTCTTATCGCACTTGGCTTTTATGAAAATTTGTAAGCAAATGTAAATTGTTGGAGTATTAGGGTGATACCAGACTATAGATTAGACTATGGGCTACAATATAGACTATACTACAGACTAGACTATAGTCTATAGACTAGACTATAGACTAGACCAATGACTAGAATATAGACTAGACCATAGACTAGACTATAGACTATACTAAGTATAGACTAGTCTGTAGACTAGACTGTAGGCAAGACTATAGATTGGACTATAGACTAGACTATAGATTGGACTATAGACTAGACTATAGACAAGACTATAGATTGGACTATAGACAAGACTATAGATTGGACTATAGACTAGACTATAGACTAGACTATAGACTAGACTAGACTAGACTATAGACTAGACTATAGACTAGACTATAGACTAGACTATAGACTAGACTATAGACTAGACTATAGACTAGACTATAGACTAGACTATAGACTAGACTATAGACTAGACTATAGACTAGACTATAGACTAGACTATAGACTAGACTATAGACTAGACTATATACTAGACTATAGACTAGACTATAGACTAGACTATAGACTAGACTATAGACTAGACTATAGACTAGACTATAGACTAGACTATAGACTAGACTATAGACTAGACTATAGACTAGACTATAGACTAGACTATAGACTAGACTATAGACTAGACTATAGACTAGACTATAGACTAGACTATAGACTAGACTATAGACTAGACTATAGACTAGACTATAGACTAGACTATAGACTAGACTATAGACTAGACTATAGACTAGACTATAGACTAGACTATAGACTAGACTATAGACTAGACTATAGACTAGACTATAGACTAGACTATAGATAGACTATAGACTAGACTATAGACTAGAATATAGACTAGACTATAGGACTAGACTATAGACTAGACTATAGACTAGACTATAGACTAGACTATAGACTAGACTATAGACTAGACTATAGACTAGGACATAGACTAGGACTATAGACTAGACTATAGACTAGGACTATAGACTAGGACTATAGACTAGGACTATAGACTAGACTATAGACTAGACTATAGACTAGACTATAGACTAGACTATAGACTAGACTATAGACTAGACTATAGACTAGACTATAGACTAGACTATAGACTAGAATATAGACTAGACTATACTATACTAGACTAACTAGACTAGACTATAGACTATAGACTATACTAGACTAGACTATACTAGACTAGACTATAGACTAGACTATACTAGACTAGACTAGACTAGACTAGACTATAGACTAGACTATAGACTAGACTATAGACTAGACTATAGACTAGACTATAGACTAGACTATAGACTAGACTATAGACTAGTACTATAGACTAGACTATAGACTAGACTATAGACTAGACTATAGACTAGACTATAGACTAGACTAGACTATAGACTAGACTATAGACTAGACTATAGACTAGACTATAGACTAGACTATAGACTAGACTATAGACTAGACTATAGACTAGACTATAGACTAGACTATAGACTAGACTATAGACTAGACTATAGACTAGACTATAGACTAGACTATAGACTAGACTATAGACTAGACTATAGACTAGACTATAGACTAGACTATAGACTAGACTATAGACTACTATAGACTAGACTATAGACTAGACTATAGACTAGACTATAGACTAGACTATAGACTAGACTATAGACTACTATAGACTAGACTATAGACTAGACTATAGACTAGACTATAGACTAGACTATAGACTAGACTAGACTAGACTAGACTAGACTATAGACTAGACTATAGACTAGACTATAGACTAGACCATAGACTAGACTATAGACTAGACTATAGACTAGACTATAGACTAGACTATAGACTAGACCAACGGTTCCCAAATGGGGGTCCGCGGACCCCTAGTGGTCCGTAGTAAAATCCTAGGGGGTCCGCGAAGACGAACGAAAAAAACCATTAATAAACAATATTCTGCTTTTATATGTATGTACAAATATCTCCAATTGTTGTGCAATAATCCCAAATTTTTTGGTGACTTTTTGAATTTTATTTTTTCGGTTGTTTAACAGGAAGAAGCTAGGCCCTACAAATTTATTGTATAACTTTTATAAAATAAAGTATTGCGTGATTTGTAATTTGTATTTCCTGTATATGTACTGAAATAATGGTTTTTATTTCAGACAAATAATACTCTGCCTTACAATTAAATTAGGGATACTGGTACCGGAATATGAAGTTCAATTCAAAGACAAGCTTATTACAGATTTAAGTTTATCAAATTGTAAGCAAAAGTGTTCTTGTTTGAAAGGACTAAAATTATATATTTCCAAAACAGAGGCGACTCTTTATGTATCTCTTTATAAATATTCCAATCCGACGTGATACACAGATTTTAACTTGATTTTGTTGACCAATACATATTATTAAATTAACATCAGAAAATCCATAGCGTTTCGGGTAAATATGTAGCCAAAAACCATGAAGTAAAATAATTCGTTGGTATTTTAAAATTCAAATTTAAGTTCCAAATTCACAGTACTTTAACAAAGAGTTCAAATCATATATTATGCGGATAACGCATTCCGCAACAACATAGAAGAAGTCCAACTTTCTTATATTATTTTCCCGAAAACTTAGCTCACTTACTCAGTTCACCCTTTGCAATCGCAACAAATTTTTGAAACGTGACTCCTTAAGCACATGTGACAATATTTGATAAAGAAACCTTTTCGCTACCTTGAAGAAAAATGAACATGAAAGATCTCACGATCATAAAATTATACATCATGTTAACATATCAACAAAGAAGTCATTCTATCTTCAAAACATGCAATTGAAAACCTATCTGAAATATTATAGATATGACATCTCTACATTTATTAGACCTAGGAATTAATGAACTAGGTCAATTTTCGGATGGACAATTATTTAGAACAATAAGATATCAAAATATGTATGGGGGTCCGCGAAATTAAATAAGTTCTTCAAGGGGTCCGCGAAGTAAAAATCGGTGGGAACCGCTGGACTAGACTATAGACTAGACTATAGACTAGACTATAGACTAGACTATAGACTAGACTAGACTAGACTATAGACTAGACTATAGACTAGACTATAGACTAGACTATAGACTAGACTATAGACTAGACTATAGACTAGACTATAGACTAGACTATAGACTAGGCTATAGACTAGACTATAGACTAGACTATAGACTAGACTATAGACTAGACTATAGACTAGACTATAGACTAGACTATAGACTAGACTATAGACTAGACTATAGACTAGACTATAGACTAGACTATAGACTAGACTATAGACTAGACTATAGACTAGACTATAGACTAGACTATAGACTAGACTATAGACTAGACTATAGACTAGACTATAGACTAGACTATAGACTAGACTATAGACTAGACTATAGACTAGACTATAGACTAGACTATAGACTAGACTATAGACTAGACTATAGACTAGACTAGACTAGACTAGACTAGACTATAGACTAGACTATAGACTAGACTATAGACTAGACTATAGACTAGACTATAGACTAGACTATAGACTAGACTATAGACTAGACTATAGACTAGACTAGACTATAGACTAGACTAGACTAGACTATAGACTAGACTATAGACTAGACTATAGACTAGACTAGACTATAGACTATAGACTAGACTATAGACTAGACTATAGACTAGACTATAGACTAGACTATAGACTAGACTATAGACTAGACTATAGACTAGACTATAGACTAGACTATAGTCTAGACTATAGACTAGACTATAGTCTAGACGATAGACTATACTATAGACTAGACTATAGACTAGACACTATGTAGAGAATATGCTAAACTATACCCTAGACTATAGTCTAGATAGACCAGAATCAGGTAATTACCAAATGAAGATTCATTTAACCTGGAAATAATTTTTGTGTACCACCCTAATATATATACATGAAATAACTAATGAATAGTTAGTTAATAGTATTCGTGTTGGTTTTCTAAACGCCACTAATTAACAATGAGGGCACTAAAGGTAAAAACACTACAAATACATTTTGTTCCATTCAGCATATAAGTTCTGTGTTTGTTTCGGAAGAATAAAAAAAGTTCGCGATACCTTTATAAGAATTATTAATATGTATTAGTCGATTATGTGACATGCTTCAAGACGAATATCCACCTTTCTTAGAAATCGATCTCGATCATGGGCTTATGAAATTAGTCAATTTTGCTTTTATGTTTCGATTATTGATTTT